TTCCCATAACACCCTCGCTTCTTTTGAAAATTACTTTAAATCTCTGCTCTTTTGTTCTTGCTTCTTTTACAAGGAGGAACAGTTTCTTCCTACCTACTCTATCCAGCCCACTCATGGATTTTAAAAGCCTCTAGAGTTCTCCTCCTAGTCCCAACTTCTTCAATCTATCCTCATAACTGAAGTTTCTATACACTACTCAATAGCCAGTATAGAGATAACAATGGCAGGTTGACCAAAGCTTGGACTTGAACGTTGAAGGATATTTAACATTTCAAAAAGATTACATTCAGTTTTCAGGGGAGAATTGTGGGCCTATGACTAGCGCTTTAAACCAGAATAAAAATGTGATAAGAGTATGAAAGCCGAATTAGCAAAAGTGAAGTTGGAAACTAAGTTAAAAGAGAGGACATTAGAGATGCAGTGAAAAATGTTTAAGGGGATTCAGAAAGGAGTCTGAGAAGGATGCATCATCCATGCCTTAATTAAACATAGTATTAAACTGAAAGAAACACTACAAATTTAGAAAAAAATTAGTGCTAGGTCAGATTTTAAGAACTGGCAAAGAACAAAATAAGAGGGTGGAAATACAACGTAAGAGACAGGGATCTGGTAATATCAAAACAAATAGTATTAGTTTCCGCAAATACTTAAAAAGGGGAAAAAAGTAACAAAAGAGTTAGTGTTTATCCACTAAAGAAATTCAGCTGTGGAACTGATTACAAAAGACTAGGAAATGACAAGGTGCTCAATACATATTTTGTGTTTGGCCTCAATGCATAAGATTCACTGGTTCTAAACTTGCAAAATTCCTTCCAAACAGATCGGCCATGGCCTTACTGAATGGACAAGCAGCGTTGAGTGGCTGAATGGGCTATTCATGCTCCAAATTCATATGCTCCTATGTAAATTACAACAGAATGAAAATACTTAATGTGACATCTTATTCAAGGCAGGGAGAGAAGACGGGAAACTACAGGCCCATTAGCCTAACATCTGTCATAGGGAAATTGCTAGAATCCATTATCAAGAAGGTTAAAGCAGGATACTGAGAAAATCATGATGTGGTCAGGCAGTGTCAAAGAGAAATACAAAAGAACAGATAGTGGAGAACAAGTAAATGGTACAGCATTTCAAAAAAAACTATAGTTCTACCTTCACTAAAGACAGAATTAACTTACCACATATTATAAGGAAGCAAGAGTCTATTGAGAAAGATAACTGAAAGAAATTAACATTTGTCAACAAAAATGCTGGAGAAATGAATGGGACTGAAAAATGATAAATCTCCAGTGCCTGTTAATCTATATCCTGGGAACAAAAGGAGATGGCCATGGAAATAGTTGATCTACTGGTTCTCATTTTGCAAAATTCTGCAGATTCTGCAACAGTCCCAGTAGATGAGAGGCTGGCAAATTAACCACATTTTTTACAAAAGGAGGAAGGGGACAAAATGTGAATTACAAACTAGTTATTTTCTACCACTGATATGAGATTATCAACAGGAATAAATAAAGTCAACATGAATTTGAGCATGAAATCATGCTTGACAAACCTTTAAGAGATTTTTGAGGACGTAACTCATAAAATAGACAAGGGGAAACAGTGGATTTGGATTTTAATAAAGTCCACACGAGAGGTTGGGGTGCAAGAGTTAAAGCACATGGGATTAGAGATAATATACCGATATGGATTGAGAATTGGTTAGCAAATAGAAAACACATTAGGAATAAATGGATCTTATTTGGAAGTAGTGGGCAGCATGGTGGCTCATTGGTTAGCACTGCTGCCTCACAGCGCCAGGGACCCAAGTTTGATTCTAGCCTTGGGCGATTGCCTGTGTGGTGTTTACATGTTCTCAGTGTTTGCCTGGGTTTCCTCCAAGTGTTCTGTTTTCCTCCCACAGTCCAAAGATGTGCAGATTATGTGGACTGGCCATGCTAAATTGCCCAGTGTCCAAGGATGTGCAGGTTAGGTGGATTAGCCATGGGAAATGTCAGGTTCGGGGGACGGGGTGGTTCTTTGGAGGGCAGTACAAACTTGATGGGCTGAATGGTCTGCAACTGCACTGTAGGAATTTTATGAGTCTATGTAACAGATATCAGTGTTTTGGCCCTAGCTATTCACAACAAATTTCAATGGTTTGAATGAGGAAATCTAATATATTTCCAATTTTGCTGATAACACAAACTAGAAAGATTTGTGTGTAGTGGAAAGAGTGAAGAGGCATCAAGGTGGTTTGGACAATTTGGGTGAGTGGGCAAATATTTGGCAGACACAGTATCATGCAAATAAATGTCAAGTTGTCCAATTTGATATTATTTAATTGGTAATAGGTTGGGAATGAATATATAAATGTACCTGGGTGCCTTTGCACACCAGTCATTGAAAGCAAGCATGGTGGTGCAGCAATCAGTAAGGAAAGCAAATCTATGTTAGCCTTCATTGCAAAAGGATTTGAGTACAGGTGCAATGTTGCCTTGCTGTAGCTGTGTAGGACTTTGGTGAGACTCACCTGAGTATTTTGCTGTTTTGATCTCCTGACCTGAGGAAAGATTTACTAGTCATAGAGGGAGTATAGTGAAGGTCACCAGACTGATTCAAAGGAGTGGCAGGTTTGCCATGAGGACATTGGGTCGACCAGGTTTGTATCCACTGGAATTTAGAAGAATGAAACGGGATCTCGTTGAAACCTATTAAACAGGGCTGGACAGACTGGATACAGTGATGATGCTTCCCCTGGCTGGGGGAATCTAGAACAAGGAGTCAAGGCCTCAGGATATGGGTAGGCCATTGAGGATCAATGAGAAATTGAGCAGCTGGTGAACCTGTAGCATTCTCGACATAAAGCAGTTAAGACCAAGTAACCGAATATATTGAAGACAAATATGGGCAGACAAACATGTGAAGACATTCTTCCCTATCTCGGCCCTAAATGACGTCTCTCTTATTGTAAGACCTAGTTCCAAAGCCCCCATCCATCTCAAGCCTAAGGAAGCATCCTTCCTGCATCTACCCTGTTGAACTCTAAGAAATGAGGGGTGACCTTATAGAGGTTTATAAAATCATGAGGGGCATTGATAAAGTGAATAGCCAAGGTCTTTTTCCTAGGGTGAGGGAGTCCAAAACTAGAGGGCATAGGTTTAAGTGAGAGGGGAAAAATTTAAAAGGACCTGAGAAGTAATTTTTTTTATGCAGAGGGTGAAATGGAACAAGCTGCCAGATGCAGTGGTGGAGGCGGGTACAAACACAACATTTAAAAGTCATCTGGATGGGTATATGAATAAGAAAGATTGAAAGGGATATAAGCCAAATGCTGGCAGATAGGACTAGGACAGATTGGGATGTCTGGTCGTTGTGAATGATTTAGACCGAAGGATCTGTTTCTGTGCTGTATTACTCTAACACTCTGATGAGACATATTTTTGTAGAGAAAGGAGTCAATAATTATGGGAAGAGCAGAAATTGAAACCACAAGCAAATTAGCAATTATTCTGTCGAAAGGCAGAGCAGGCTCAAAAGGCCCACTCTTGCTCCCAAGTTTTATGTCCCTAAATCTGACAAGTGGACTGTATGTGTGAAACAAAAGTAATCATTAATGTCCTCCAATAAACACCTAATATTGGCAATTTTTAACAAGTAATTACTAATGCAAACAAGAGAATAAAGATAAACGTTAATGTCAAATTATTTTAATAAACATGTAATGGATGATTATCTCAAGTAGTTAGAAGTAAACAGTGATCAGTGTTAATTCATGAATTGTGGTACGGTAGTTGAAGCAGTGCTTGTGGCACAGTGGTAGTGTCCCTACATCTGGGTCAGAAGGTCTAGATTCAAGTTCCACCTGGTACAGAGGTGTTATGATATGTCCAAACAAGTTGATTAAAACCTTTCTTTACAAAGAGGGTGCAGATGGAACTGGGAAGTTGGATGAGAACTGGGTGGCTAAGAAGAATTCAATAAACTCTCCAAAGAGAAGCCTTGTGTCCTTGTTTCAAATTCACCCACAAGCTTAGATCCTGTTATCAAACTAAGCCTGGTAATTACCCAATTCAAATGATTAATGGCACTCTAGGGATCTGATTATACATTCCTTAAAAAGATCTGGTAGTCACATTTCCAGCACACAATTTCCTGGAAAGTATGAATGCGAACAGAAAGAAGAACAGTAGACCATTTTTCTAAAAACGCATATGGTGTAACACATCCATTAATTCTCTGAACCCACACAAAACTTTACCAACATCACACCAGCACACAGACAAAATTTCAATTCTGACAACAGTTTCAGTGAGAAAACTGCTGTAAAATTACAAGGGATCATATAAGGTACCTAACCAAGATTGCAAAGTTACAGGTCCTGACATGCCAACCATTTTCCAACTCACAGTAATAGCAGTTTGGCCAGTTTAAGATATCTGACTATTCTTAATCTAATTTGTTCTACAAAAAAAATCCAAAATCACAGCCTAATAAAATTATGTTATCAATTTTGAAAGTAACAACCCTTAACTGATCATACATTAAAAGAGATGCACAGAAACAGGAAGTATACTCAGAGTGCACATATACATGAACCTCTACAATATATGAAAGACGACCAACCAACAGCTTATGTACTGGGTTATAAGGAAATACACAATTCTTTTCCCGTACCAATATCCCTAATTTTTATTTCTTAGTTTTGTCCATTGGTGACCAACCACTGATGTCAGGACAAGGGGAAGAATGGAGCAGATGGAAGAAAACATGCTTACTGTTTTCAAATTTGGTACCCAATGATAATGCATCTGAATGCTCTAAAATAACAGCAGTACTAGTGGTAGAAATAATTAAGGTGAAGACACAAACAAAATTATTCCCAGATAAAGATGATGTTCAATCTGTAAGTTAATTAGAAATATAGTTATACTATTTCTACTTAAAAAGATGAGGTCAATCACATGTCAAAGTATTACCTTTCATCATGAGACAAATAAATGAATTTGAATACTCCAGAATGAGCTTCATTGGTTCACTTTTATTTGAACTCTTTTACAAAGCAAAGCAAATTCTCAATCTCCTCTTTGAAAAACAGGAAAAATATAAAATTATCAATTTGGAACAGGATACATTAATTAAAAAGGTTGAACTTTAGATTTTAAGAAAAGACTTCCCAAATAGAGTTAGAGATAGTAGGAACTGCAGATGCTGGAGAATCTGAGATAACAAGGTGTAGAGCTGGATAAACACAGCAGGCCAAGCAGCATCAGAGGAGCAGAAAGGCTGATGTTTCAGGCCTAGACCCTTCCGTCAGCCTTCCTGCTCCTCTGATGCTGCTTGGCCTGCTGTGTTCATCCAGCTCTACACCTTGTTATCCCAAATAGAGTTAAGTTTGTATTTATGTCAAAAGTGATTTTTCTCCTTTAGACCTACCAGAATCAGAAACAACGTAATGATCTTAAATGGACACTAGATTCTGAGTTTAACAGAAAAATAAAATATTGTGCAGATGAGAAAATTACTCAGGTATGATGGTACCTGTAGGACCCCAAACTCTCAGAACAGGGTCACTGACAAGCCCCAAAAATAAAAATCTGAGACTTAGCATAATGTGCCATGGAGGTTAATTTTCAAATACTTAATGTCTCAATGTCACAAAACTGAAATTGAGGAACAAAGGATGAAGATAGATTTCATTTGAAGCAAAAATAAAAACTAGAACTACAGCAGAAAATCATCCTCTACATTGAAATTAAACAGTCAACGCTTCAAATTTATCCACAGCGTAAACAGTTCTACAATCTCCAGTTATATTATCTGACCTGCTGTTTCTCTTCAGCTTTTGGTTTCACTTATTTTTCAGTTTTTATTTTGTTCATGTTTAATTTTCTTAAACGAAAATAGCATGTAAATAAATTCGATCCGTTAACAATCATACAGTCGTTGAAGACAATTTGACAGGTAGATCATCCCGGAAGTTCCAGTAAGGATGAAGACAGAAAGGTCACCTCGCTCAGTACAGACCAAGCCTCCACTTCTCAGCTAAAGAAAACCCAATACAAAATATTTCATTGATTCTATTAGATGACAGTAATGATAAAATTTCTGATTGCTACATAACTAGCAATAAAACTGAACCAGACAGCAGTGTCTACCATCTTAAAATTTGCAACTTTATGCAGAGACTTCTGAGAATCTCGATACCATTATCAATGAAATTGAAATTTGATCGAAGCAAGTAAGTAGTATTTTACTAAGAAGATTGATCAAATGCCATACTCTGGTTTACAGTTTTATTGGAGTTGCTTCTTTAAACATTATTAACCATATAAAATATTGTTTTGGATGTAAAGTGTCATTGCTGTGATAAACAAATAGTCCTCTATTGAGATTTTTGAAAAAGTTACAGGTTCACAGATATAGAAACTATTTTTAAAAAGAGCTTTCCTGAGCAGAGTTAAACAAATTCAGAGAAAGCTGGAAAAGTCCAATCAGTTTGTTATGAACAGGAGGGCCATCTGCCATCCAGTAGAGTCAATTTATTCCCAACTTTACAGGGTTGAAGGACACACTGCAGATTAGAAACCTGCATCATTTGTTGGTGATGTACATAGTTCAGAATCTTGCTTTGAAATGCCTTGGTTGATTTGACTTTTCCCTTCCTTGACATTTCTGGTTCCACTTCTGGGGACAAGCAGAATCCATATGGTCTAAATCCATTAGGTTCACTGGCTCCCACAGCTATCTGTGCTACATTTCATCTCATTCTACTTCTTGAGAGGACTCTATTCCATTCTCCCAGTTTCTTCAACTCTCTTGCATCTGGTCTCACCATGCTACCTATTGTACCAAAGCAACCGATATATGTTCCTCGTCCAAGGATTCCTCTCCAAAGCCCTCAACCATGACATTTTCTTGCACTTCTGCTTTCACCACTTCCTCTCCCATCTCCCCACTTTCCACGATACTGAATGGACCATCCTCTGCAATTTCCAATGGCCCCACTATGATGCATCACAAAGTATATGTTCCCTGCTCTTTCAGAATTCTGATGGAATTGTTCACACTGCCACATTCAGATCTACTCCAATCAACTTGAAAAGCCACTCCCCTTCCCACTTTATCCTCCCATACATGTGCAAGAGAGGTAACAATGGTCTTATCTCAACTTCCCACGAACAGGGTCATAAACCAACTTCCAGCTGAAACAGTTATTTACTTGTACATCTTTCAATTTAATATCCTATATTTATGACTCAATTTAGTCTCCTCTATATTACAGAGACTGAATGTAGATTGGATGACCAAATTGCAGAAATTCTTTATCCAGTCCAGTAGCATAATTCTGAGCTTCTAGTCGCCCATTGAACTCTGGTCTCTTTTCTCCAGCCGCCCTCCAATACCTCCAAAGAAACACTGTAAATTTAAGGCACTTTATGGCCTTCTGGACACAACATGGAGTTCAACAATTTTAGATCCTGACGTCTTCCCCCATTGTTTTGGATGGCAGCCCTGGGTATTAATTTTAAAATTCCTATTTACACCTACTCCAGACCCAACTTGTGTTTATTTTCCCTGTTATCATCTTTTTGCCTAGCACTGATCCACCACCCCTTTTATCATTCAATTTCTCTTGCTTTATTCTTTCCCTCATCTTCCACTTCTGTGCTTGTTTAAAACTTGTTACATCACTAATATTTTTCAAGCTTTGATAAAGAGCTAATCAAATTGAAACATTACCCCGATTCTCTCCCACATTTGCTGACTGACGTGCTTGTTTCTTCAGTAAACTTTTAAAAATTGTTTACTTCAGGATTCAGTTTATAAATGTGCAAACAAATTATATACAAATGTGAAACATGAGTAAGTGTCAAAATTAAATGGCACCTCATTCATGCAAAACTGAAATGGCCTGCCATAAGATTCACAGCCTGCTAAAATATTCAACTCAAAGTTTACTTAGAAATACAAAATTTAAAACAAGCATGAAAATATTCACTGAGCTTTGAAAGATCTATCAGAAAGAAAAGAAATCAGAAGTCCTTTAGATCTATCAGCAGCACGCCATGGGCCAGCCAAGAGCTAGTCTGTTCGGTAGAAACTCAGGTGCAACTACAAATTTATAAAAAGAATTATGATGAACTGTAGGATATTAACTCTAAATCCAGGACATATGTTCATTAACCCTCACAGAATGAGAAAAGGATATCCTACCTTTCTCATAAAATAAATAATCCAAAATTTCATTCATTTTACTTTGGACAACATTACTGGAACTGTACAATCTACTTTGTGACATCTACATGCCTAAGAAACAAACTATTTGTTATTAGGACTTCCAACAGAAAATAAACCCAATCTCTCAGCAGTAATTTGTACTCACCATTCGATCCATTTAGTTACTATAAAAGGTTTATTATGCTCACTTTGTAGGCCACCCAGTTATCCATAATTCTCAGAAGCAAAATGTTTAAGGGCAGAAAAACATGAGATGAGCGTGCTGAGGAATAGGCATAAATATGCAAAGTAAAAAATCCTTGACAGAAAGAAAGAGTATTAGTTTGCAGCATGACAGATTTTCCAGTCATTCAGAAACATTATTTAAAGTGAAATAAATTTGATATGTCTGTAAACAATCAAAGAATAGTGCCAGTTATCAAACGAGAGGAGGAGGCAGCTCAACATTGGGAAATTTTGTCTCTCTAAGATAACCCGAAGAGAAAATAGAAAAGGTAATAGAAATGAACATCATCATTTTGACAGGATAACAGGTTTAGATGATGATTTTATACATTTACAATTTACTGAGCTGAATTTTTCACAGAACATTAATGAGTCCATTTAATATTGCACTATTAAATACTACTATTTTCCCCATGGATTAACTAATTTCTAATTTAACATTTAGGATAACCAAATCAAAATGACCCATTTTCAACTCCAACTGACAGATGCATAGGATTCCATAACTTAAGACAAAGTTCAAAATGTGCAATCTGACATACCGAATAGATTAATTCCTGTAAATGAATTCCCAGTCCACTACTTACTTGAAAACTGATTTTTTTTAAAAAATCCATGTGCGCTCGATGTGGACAAATTGGTTTAGATAGCATATTGTAGGCTGAATGCAATGTTGTCAATTGCATTTGACCAGAGAGGAAACATAGCTTGTTAAATTTGATAGCAAATCAGTTCAGTTACATTTTAAACTCAATATGCATTAAATGTTGTGATTCTTTTATGGAAGTTGAAGTACCAATTCGAAATTACAGATTAACCAGTTTGATTTGGAAAAACTGGTTCTAAATTGACCAACTGGCAAATCAAGCCATTTCAACCTCAGAGACCTTGTCAAAATAGCAAAAAGTGAAAATGATAGGTTGCAAAATGCAGTCTGTAGCAGGTTTTGAGACAAAGGTATTTCTTTGTAATCTTTTTGAAAATCTAGCAATAATATAGCTAAAGTCACGGGAATGAATTTCATCAGCTATCCAAATTACCTCAACAACTGTCATGATCACATTACCCAATATAAAATTTAAGATTACAATTTACCTGTCAATAATGCAGTGTATTAAATTTGACAGCACATCAATAAATCAAACAAACATAACCAGGTCCTTACATGCAGCTCCACTGAATGCAGCTAGAATAGTAGAAAATACAACATCAGGAGGCTGTGCGGCATCAACAGCTGTATGGAGCCCTTTCTTTTGGTAATATGTAATCAGAGGTTTGGTTTGGGTGTGGTAAGCAGAAAGACGAGATTTTAACGTTTCTTCATTGTCATCTGAACGTTTTAGCAAAGGTTCACCAGTTACCTTCGAATAGAAACAAACAAACAATACATTCATTAGTAACCACGTCGCACAAAATGAGTCTCAGAACACTCGAAGATAATTCTTCTAACATAGGACCATTCATGCACAATTTGGGGTGCAAGAGGATAATTTGTCAGTCAATCTACAGGCCAGTAAAAAGTACAAACTTGGAAAAAATTTCGAGACATTAGTAGAAACATCATATACTCTTCCTGAAAATCTCCTCCATGCAGTCAACTGCAGGTCCCTTCCAATTTAGACTGGATTGTTTAGAGAATGCCTATTACAATCTTTGGATTTTATCAGCTATTTCCATACTCTGCAGAAATTACGCCTATTAGGGAACACTTGTTTCATACAAACTGAAATGAGACTTTGTTAGTGCAATACTGCCCAGGGTTGAAAAGAAATTCACGTTACTACTATAACTACAGAAAATTTGAGTCCTTACATTCTGAAAGCTTTGCCAGAAGAAAGAAAAGCCTTCAACTCTGACTTTGAATGCAGGACTAAACGAAATTCATGTTTAGTAGCTAAAAGTCAATACAGTAGACTGATTTTTTTTTTTTTTAAAAACGCAGGCTTTTAACGTGCCATCGCCCAAGATACAAAAATAACAAGATACAGCACATGGTCGATCTTCAATACTGAAACTGGAGCATCATAAACTGTATAAACGCAAGATTTATTTAACTGTCAAGAACCTTCCATGATTTGTACGGAAGGATGTTTGGGAGAAAGGGATTTTGTCACCTAAACTTGCATATGTCATTTTTGCAGAGGTTATAAGTCTGGGATAGTTAGGTTTACTTTTCTCAATACCAGAGAAAATAAAAGCAAGAACAGGCAATTCTTGTCAATCTCTTAGGAAGAAGTTGTAAATAGAGGCATACATTCTGGATGTAGTTTTGCTAGTAGAGGATTTTAAACCAATTCTGAATGGGTACTTTAAGACTGTTAAGTTTGGAGTGGAAAGTGCCATTCTGCCCACAGAAACACCTTCATATCTATAGAGCTTCTCAATGCAATGGAATAATCTGTTAAAGGGTACATCAAAAGGAGTACAGTCTTGCACAGAAGCCCAATTTTAATTTGATAAATATACACTTAAGAACTACATGCATCAGATACCTGAAGGCATCCACAAAGATTACTGTTAAGCCAGTTTTATTGTATCTACAAAACAAGCAAGAATTTGTTAATTGCAAGTGAGTCAGAAGCCAACTGAGATAACTACACCCATTAATGCTCAAAGAAAATTTATTCCCTTTACTTGAACATATTTGTTTTGAAGACCTGCTGAGTCTGTAGACTGGGAGATTGCTGCACTCTGGTTCTACACCAGTAAAATGTAAATGAAACGTTTTAGCTTTGGGAAACATTTGTATACGTCTGAATACTTAATTTGAAATAACCCATGTATAATTTACTTTGCCTAATATCAAGGACAGTGCACAACCAATCATGACTATTTTGATACATACATCATCTTTCATTGGCACTTTGGGTGGGTTGTACAATTCATGATAAGTGCGTCCACTGGGCTGGTGAATCAGTCTGAGAGAAAACAAAATGATTGCACAAGAAGATTTTATTCATAAAAACTCAATGTAGTTAACATTTGGTATGTTACATTCATTAATAAACTAACCTTTTCAATGAAGAGCAAATACTTCACCTCAAATTACACTTAACTGTTGGGAAACATTAAGTAAGCTTACCATGTCAACACAATTAGGTTCTACAATGAAACGAGAATGTTAAATTGAACAAGGTACAAAGTAGTAATACTTTTATCAACCAAAGACTCTTACTCCAGGTCAAATTCAGTGCAGGCTGCATATTCAGATTGTTGATGTCAATTGGTGGATAAAATACAGTAGCTCCTTCAAGAGCCTAAAGTTTTTTTTTGTATAACCACACCCCCAACAATTTAATGGACACATATACTGCTTAGTAATGATACTGAGTCTATAATTAATGTTGCTAACTCTTACATACATGTAAATGATAAGTCCTTGCTCTGTATAAACTTGTGTAAAAGTTGAACCCTTACTTTTTGACTAATATTTAGTCTTAGAAACTTGATTTTTTACAGAAGCAAAATTTTGGCACATGAAATCCACTCCCTCCATTAACAGCATTATTTCTGTACTGTCTGCTGTACCATGATTAAAAAAAAGGCAGGCACTATGATCCTGTGGAACAATGTTTGGAACTGATGGTGGTGCAAACTCAATAGGGTGGACCTGCTGGTGACAGCAATGGTCAGCAGAGGAAGCAGCTGCACCCGATGGATCCTTTAAAATTCCCAAATGGGACACTACAATTGGCTTTTCACAGTAGGCATAAACAGGGCATGATTAAAAACATTATTTGTTGAATTATTTAAGTAATTGTGAAAATCCAACTATCATTCAAATTGCTGCTAATCAAGTATTGTGTAACAAACCTGTCTATGAACAAGTAAAAAATTATTACCTGCCACAGATTCTGGTTATCAGCAAGTCATCTTGAATCTTAAACTCTAGCACCGAGTCTAGCTTCTCAGATCGCTTTTCCAATTGTTGATCAAACTGCAACAAGAGCAAAATATATTCAAATAAGGCAAAAGTTCATATGTCCATGGCATCTACACATGCTTGCCAAATAACTCATGTTTAAAATATGTGCCAAAATGGGGTTTCAAAAGATAGACAGTATAGAAGCATTGCTTAAAGTTTTTTAACCAATGCCCCACAACTGGCTACTGACTGTCTGCCAGATCTCAATCTGAATTAATGCAACACAAATAATATCTATGATGAATCCTGTAATGAGATATCTTCCCCAACTTCTATCAATTTTCCAGAGACAAGGAGAAATTGTTGGAGCTTTTCCAGCAATTTCTATTTTTGTCTCTGATTTACAGCATCTGTAGTTCTTTTGGTTTTATCCAATAATTTTTCATTTACTGAGGGGAATTGGCTGGCATCCATTCATTGATAGATAACAATAAAGGTGACTTTTTAAACAAATTAATTTACAGGAAAAGGGTGCAACTGGCTAGCCCAGCATTTATTGCCCATCCCAGAGGATAGGTAAGCATCAACCACTTTGCCATGGGTCTGCAGTCACATGTAGGCCAGATCAGGTAGGGATGGCAGTTTCCTTTCCAAAAGGGCATTAATGAACCAGGTGGATTTTTGCAATAATCGACAATGGATTCATGGTCATCATTAGACTCTTAGTTCCAGATTTTTTATTCAATTCAATTTCTACCATCTGCCATGGCAGAATTCAAACCCAGGACCCCACATATTAGCATAATCAATGAACAGAAAGCCATAACAGGTAAATGTAACTGTATTAGAGTATAAGCCGATAAACTGGAAACAAATTGGTTAATACCTAATTAATACCTAATGTGCTCCATTACTTTCTGTTGCAATAAACTTGCTTTGTTAGCTCAGTACTTTCTGCTACAAGTCAACCCACATAAGGCACACCCACACCATACGGTCTAAAGAATAGACACCACTCAGAGCTTGCATAACTTGAGTTTATATAGTACATTTAATGCAGGAAAATGTCCAAAGGCATTTCACAGAGATGCAGAGTAAAACAACCAAAGGTTTCGGGAGAGGTGACCAAAACCAAAACATGTTCTTTTCGGAAAAGGAAAATTGGATGGTGAAAAGGTAGAGAAGCTCTAAGTTGCGAATTCTAGAATGTGAAACCTAGATGGTTAAAGGCATGGTAGTCAATAGCAAGTTGAAGAGATGGGATCAATGCACAAGCAGCCAGGACAGAATTGGTAAAATCAAACCTGGAAGTGACCAGATGGCTTGGGTTTCAGTGACAAGGGAGGTGTGATAGGAGACAGGTGACATTACAGAGATGGCAATAGACAGTCTTTGTGATGAAAGGAATATGGATTTTGAAACTCATTTGAGGCACTGAATCGAATGGCAGGCTATGAATAGTTTAAACCAGTCTGACTTTTCTACCATGAGATAGTAAGAACTGCAGATGCTGGAGTCAGAGAAAACACAGTTCTGTGCTATGTTCCTCCAGCTCCACACTGTGTTATCTCTGACTTTTCTACCATGTTTTTCCAATAAGTATCCGTACAAAATACCAATCTATTCTCTTCATTAATGTTCACCAATGTTGAAATATTATATTTAACACCAACTCATCTAATACTTTAAGTGGCCTTAACTTTGGTTCCTTAATTTCACTTCACTAAATAGTCCAAAACCTAGAGTTATGTATATTTCCTTTAAATCCCATTCACAATAGTAACCAATTAACAAAATAGTACATTAAATTATTGTGCTTTGTGAATTGTCAAACACCCTCTTGGATTTATCATCAATGAATCATTTATTCATCAGCATTTTAGGTAGCCAAAAAAATCGCTCCCAAACCATAAGGATGTCATCTTATATTTTGTACTTTTTTTTGCTCTATCTGACACCCCCGTCATTGAATACACCTCCACTGATGAATTTTATCTATTAATTTAATAAGATTGTACAAGTGGTGACTGTTTCTCCCACACAAACTGGCATCCTACAATTTCAAGGTCATTGGAAGATTATGCTTGTAAGCATTGGTTGCAAAGATATCAAGATTAACTGTGGGCTAGTTGTTGCACTGTCCAGTTAGAACTAGATTTTAATTATGTTTCCTGATACATAGCCTATCAAAACTAATCTTCTTCCCAAATACGTTTGCTTAAGCTCCACGTTCTTATAAAAGGTACCTGAAAAGCCAGATTGCTAACACTGACCAAATCATTAATTTTACTCCACAAAAAAAAAATCACAAGTATTTACAATTATAGCCCTCATTATCATCAGAGAATCATACAGTGCAGAAGAAGCCCTTTGGCCCATGAGGTCTGCTCCAACAAAAATCTACTCTCAATCTACACTTGTCCCACTTTCCAGCATTTGGCCCATAACCTTGAATGTAATGGTATTTCAAGGGCTCATCCAAGAATATTTTAAAGGATGTGAGGTTTCCCGCCTCAACTATTCCCTCAGGCACTGCATTCCAGATTCCCACCAAGCTCTGGGTGGATTGTTTTCTTCCTCAAATCCACCTTAAACCACCTGCCTTTCACCATAAAATTATGCTTGTTCGTGACTCCTCACTGAAGTGGAACAGCTGCTTTCTATCCACCCTGTCCATGCCCCTCAATCTTATATACCTTAATCAGGTATCCTCTCAATCTTCTCTGCTTCACAGAAAGCAACCCAAGCTTATCCAGTCTCTCTTCATAGTTAAACTGCTCAATCCTAGGCAACATCCTGGCAAATCTCCTCTGCATCCCTTCCAGTGCAACTACATCCTTCCTATAGTGCAGTGACCAAGATTGCCCACAGTACCCCAAGCGAGATTTAACCAAAATCTTGTACAGCTCCTACATAACCTTCCTACTTTTGTAATCTATGCCACAACTGATACAGGCAAGTGTTGCATATGCCTTCTTAACTACATGAACTGCCACCTCAGGGATCTGTGGACAAGCAATCCAAGATCCTTCTGTTCCTCTGAGCTTTCTACTATACTGCCATTCAACGAGTGCTCCCTTGTCGTATCACTTCTTCCAAAGTGCATCATCTCACATTTATCAAGATTAAATTCAATCTGCCACTGATCTGCCCATCTGACCAATCTGTCTATATCCTCCTGTAACCTAAGACCTTCTTCCACACAAACACCCAGTCAAACTTGGTGTCATCAACAAACTTACTTATCATCCCCCATGCATTTTCTTCTGCATCATTTATATATAGCACAAACAGTAATGGGCACAGCATTGATCCCTGTGGTATGCCACTGGACAATAGCCTCCAATTACACATACAGCCTTCCACCATCACCCTGTCTCCTATCACTAAGCCAATTTTGGATCCAATATGTCAAGTTACCCTGGATCCCTTCTTTATCAGTCTTCTGTGTGGGACCTTGTCAAAAGCTCTGCTGAATTCTATATAAACTACATCAACCATACTACTTTCATCTACACACCTGGTCACCCCCTCGAAAAATTCAATAAAATTTGTTACACACGACCTCTCTCTGACAGAGTTGTGCTGACTATCCCTGATTAAAACCTTACCTTTCGAAGTGGAGATTAATTCTCTCTTTCAGAATTTCTCCAATAATTTCCCTATTACTGATCTATGACTCACTGATCTGTAATTCCCCTGTTTATCACTATCACCCTGCTTGAAAGGTGGGATCAGTCTTTCAGTTCTGTGACATCTTCCCTGCGATCAGAGAGGAATTAAAAATTTGGCTCAGAACCCCTGTAATTTCCTCCCTTGTCTCCCAAGGCAGCCTGGGATGCAACTCATCCGGACCTAGGGATTTTTCCATTTTTAAGCCCAGCAAAACCACTAATCCCTCCTCACTCCCTATGACAAAGTGCTCGAAAATTTCAGTCCTTCATCCTGAATTTTTTATCCTATCCTTTCTCTGCAGAGTGAAGACTGATGTAAAATACTCATTTAACACCAATGACCTGTGGCTCCGTGCACAGATTACTGCCCACTCCTTCCCCCAACTTGCCGCCCCCATCCCTAATGGGCCCCACTCTTTCCTGGATTATCTTCTTTCCTTTGAAACATAAACTTATTTTTAAACCCTCTTAATTATACTTTTTATAAGAAGTTTAATCGTCGCTCCTACTATTTGTGCTCTTTGGAACTAAAGCAACATTAAACTCAAAATAAGATTGCAGCAATAAACTAATTCCCTGCATATTTCTCATAGAACTGTCAAGTCAAGTCAAATATAGCTGGATATCTTTACTTCTGGTGCTTTAGGATAATGTTATAAGACCATGCTTCAGTCTGCCATACAATTTTAGTAAAGTTTAACCTACAATCTGTGCCTGATTCACAGTACGTGGGAATCCGTCCAACAGAAATCCATTTTTGCAGGCTGCTCTGTCCAAGTTTTTATCAATCAGTTCAACCACCATCTCATCGCTGACCTAGACAAATAACCAAGAATTAATTACAAACATGAAATTTTATAAAATAAGCTCCAGTGCCTTATAGCACCTCATTCTGTAAGCTAAAATGGAGAGCTGTTCAAGAAAGACTTTTAGCTTTGGGGTTTCAAAAAAAAAAAAAGCACGATTCACACAAGTTCCCTTATGAAGTGTACACACCGATTCCCCCAACTAGAGGGGTAGGTATGTATAGAAGGGAGACATAAAATGATATTTTGATCTTTTTTAAATTTTAGTTCCAGCAATTAACTGAAGAGACGGACTACTATGATGTTGAAAAATATATACAGTAATAGAATGGAGTTAATACCAATTGAACTGAAATATAATAATACACTTGCCTAGCATCACAAAAGTTACACTCTTTCAGGCCTTAACAGAACCAACAGTGCATAAAGGGATAACAAGTACATCAGGGTTACAAGGTACTTATACTTGGAAGGTTTCCCTTGTCTAAAGACCCATAAGGCAGATGAAGCACAAGCTTACATTTATTTCCATAGCCCGTTTGTTCATCTGAAACAGGTTGCTACACTGAAGACAAAAAATTATAGCTGGAGAGACACCACTTTGCATCAAGATAGCTGACCTGGAGTTTCTCCTGCTCTTACCTCCTGCCACAGATGCAGTGGAAGGATTTGCCAGGTGATGATCCACCTGTTTAGTCATTTTTCAAATGGTCTTTCGCAGTCACTGTGTCCTGAAGTCGGACTGGAACTCAAAGCCTCTGGCTCAGAGGTAAGGTGCAACCTATTGCATTGCAAGACCTTCCCAACAAGTTACAGTACAGCTTATAAATAAAATAGAAACTACTGAATGAATCTAAAAAATGCCAATATTTGCTGACCACAGAAAAAGAGTTTGACAGTCAGGAGAATTATCCAGTTTGAGAACTGAAATGGATAGATATAGAACTAAGAGTATGACTAACATGGGTAAGAGCAAAATAAAACATTTTGGCAGAAACCAGCTGTCATGTTGGCTCTATTAGGAGGTACAGTACTATCGCGGTAGTATCATCAAACTTTTAATCCAGAGGCCTGGGCTAATATCCTGAGTTCAAACCTCACCATGGCAGCTTGTAGGACTTGCATCAAATTAATTAATTAATTTTCTTTCTTAAAAAAAAAATCACTGATGAATAACAAAATCAAGAATGAAAAGAGAGCTAAGTAAAAACTGATCAAGTGCTTGAAGCAGTTGGATACCATTCATGTATACATGGAACCAATTTTTGACTGCTCCAGTAAGATGCTTGTACAATCATAATGGGTGAAAGGGTTTCTCGGTTGATCATTCTCAGCTGTTTTAAGTTCCTTAGGTTACACTAATCATACGACCACAAATTCAGTTATGCAATATCAGAAATGGCATGTATTACAGTAATTCTCTGCAGCCCCATTTAAAAGACAATGAAAGTGGTACACTTAAAAAGTCAGACTAATAATAGGTAGCTGAGAAAAACCAAATTAACGAAAAGATTGGAGAATCATTTAGTGTGCAAGTGTGCCGATCTCTTTCAGGGTGATTATAGTCCTCAGTAATTTAAGGCCTGGAAAAAGGGGTGAGGGGGAAAACAAGCAAGGGTTTCTTGATCACTATCCAGCTGTCTTTATTAGAAATACACACATTTTGACATTGGATCATCCAATTGCCACTTGATGTACTTTTGGTAAAATTCACTGTTAAAACTTGCACATAATTGATACTTATTTTGATGTAGTACTGAAAGGTACCCTGTTTCCATGAACTTAAAAATGCCAAAACTTCAAGAGGAAAACAAAGGCAAAAATTATCAAAGACATTTGCAACACAAAATGTATGTAAATGCCATTTCCACGCACAAATGTACACAGTAGATCACACAAACATATACACAATTCTTGAAAATGTAAATGATTATGCAGAAATCAAAAACAGGTTCAATAAGATTCATCAAATTGGCTTCTCTGAGCACACTGTTTCACAATGTAGAACAATGATTTAGTATCTGCCCCACTTGTGGTTTTATCCACATCTAGGCAGCAGCAGAGGAGCATTGTATGTTTAATAATATATTCAAGAACTTGCACAACCTGTGGACACAAGTCGTGGATACAAAGAATAACATCATCTAATAACGTTCCCATATTTTTTACCAATATGGAATTTGTTAGCTTTGTTCCTCTAATGAAGAAAGGATACTTCTGTTAGATGATTTTTTTGTTTTAAATGCAACCCAGTGCTTCCTTGTGGATTAACAGACTGAAATACTGTGAACTAATCTGGAGTGCTGGGCACCCTTTGGTAACTCGATCCATGACCATTTTGTTTCTTTATAATATCTATTTTCTTATCAATCTGTTCAGAGAGGTGTAATGCCAACACTCTGGAACAAGTGGTACTTGAACCTGAGCCTCCTAGCTCATAGGTAGGGCTACCTCCACTGCACCACAACAGCTCGAACAGCAATCATATTCTGTGCGTAACATAACTGACAACCAGTTTTAATGCAGAGTACATCACATGAACCCAACTGAGTCCTCATCAAATGACCATAGACTTACACTTTCTCATAAGAGTCACTGCAAACTGTTAAGGTGTAGCAATTGTGGGAAGTTTCGTTTAATCTTTGCCTTTGCCCAGAGATACTTTTGTCATTGCATCTCCGCTGCCCATCTCCTCCTTGGCTAAATCACCCAATTCCATCAAGGAAATATTGAAGACAGGATCTTCCTAATCTTTAGTAATAAAGTTTTTACACTAAGCTGTTTCTTTACCGCTTTGATGCCAGCATTTATTTAATAAAGTTTAAATTGCATTTAGATGTCAATCATAACTTTAGAACACAAAAAATAAAGGTATTAGCATTTTAGTACAGAAAACAATGTTCGATTTATTGTACACCACTTACTAATTTGCCCTCATCCATTGTTTTCTTCAACTTTAGACCCAATTCTGATCCTGTTGCCACCATTGCTCGGAGCATGTCACCTGTTGCTAAGTGACAGACATTGTAGTGCTCCGCAAGTCTTTGAGCCTAAAGGAAGAAAGGAATGCAATTAAGGTATCTCTATATATAATTGAGAAGTACCACAAAATTACTTGAGTAGGTTGTTAAGACATTGAGTGCATTATGTTCTATTATGCGTTACATTCTCTTTAGATCTTTTCTCTTCTGCAAGGGCCTCTGAGGTCCATGCGTGGTAGCAACTTCTGAAACTCTGGCACACTAATCAGCATGCAGCAGCTGCGCAACTAAGAGAACTTTGCTATATATGTAAACTGTAGTCCATCTAACAACAATTTGACTTTATAAAGCACCTTTAACATAATAAAAAATCTCTTGACATTTCACACCAAGCCATACAATGACAAGTGGCTAATATCGTTGTCAAAGAGGTAGGTTTTAAGAAACATTTTAAAGGAGACTGATAGAGAAGCAGGAATTATTTCAGAGGGAACTTCGTAGCTTTCAGACGAGGCAGCCAAAGGTGATGGTGCAAATAAAAATTGAGGACACACTCAAGGCTCCAAGAGATTACCTGTTAAGACCATTGAGAGATCTGAACAAAAAGTTAAAGAATGTTACACCTGTAGCATTGCTGGAACACAAGTTGATGCGAGTCAATGATCAGAAGGGTGATGCTTGAAAATGTTTAATGTAACTTCAGATAGGGACAGCAGAGTAGCAGGTGTGCTTAAGACTGGAGGACAGCCAGGAGAACACTAGAACCGTCGAAGCTGAAAAAGGATGAGGGTTTCAACAGCAAGTGGGATGAGGCTATAGTGAAAACGGGTAATATTATGAAAATGGAAGCAAAATGTCACTTGTGACCATAATAAGGGTCATTTCAGCACTATGGTAGTGCAGAACCCAATTGGTGATGTTCAAATCTAGAGTTGTGTGGATGATGGACATGATTTTGAGGCGTGACAGGAATCTGGAGAGAATGGAGTTTGGAGGTGGGATGGGTTTTTTTTGAAAGAGAGGTTCGTGAACAAAAATTCAAAAAGTGGGTGGGAAATATCAGCAGATGTGGAAATATTTGCAATAGCCCAAAATCAAACATTGGTGGGTCAGCAGTTTCGTAGAAATAGCTCGAGGGAAAAAAATAGGAAAGACAGAGGAGAAAATGTGTCTCATGGACAAAATTAAATCAAACTCAGATTTGAAAACATAAATGTAAAAAATAGTATGAAGAAAAGAAAGCTTATTGCAATTAGAATGAATTAACAGATTCCAAATTAAACAATCGCAGTGGCATATTGGATCAATTCACCTTCTCACATTTCATAACTTGCTGGCTCTTACATGATAACACTGAGAACTGATTTTATCTGAATGAACACTGGTAGCAGTCATGTAGTAACACTACCCTAAACCTTGTTTCAAGATATGGGATATTTGGACTCTCACCAAAGTAGTATCTAAATAATTCATTAATGTCCACAATAAGTATCCATTAAAATTAAAGCCACAACAAACTGGCAAAACATTAATTTAAAACTGACTAAAGACAACAGGCATAAGTTATGCAACAGACGACACTTTTTGTCCAGTTTTTTAGTTTCTCGTTCCAAAAATTGAAAAATACATACAGGCAGTCCCCAGGTTATGAATGTTTTGAGTCCATTTAAAAGTCGGACCATATTCATGTTGAGGACATTAGTGAGGCCTCTTCTGAAATACTGTGTCCAGTTCCGGTTGCCCAGTTACAGGAAGGATATTATTAAACTTGAGAGGGTTCAGAAGAGATTTACCAGGATGTTGCCAGGTATGGAAGGTTTGAGTTGTAAAGAAAGGTTGGGGGTTTTTCACTGGAACGTAGGTGGTGGAGAAGAGACCTCATAGAAGTTTATAAACTAATGACAGTTATAGATAGATTTAATGGTAGTTGTCTTTTCCCTACGATGGAGGATTTCAAGACTAGGGGGCATATTTTTAAGGTGAGAGGGAACAGATTTTAAAAAATACATGAGGTGGAAATTATTTTTTTTTTACACAGTGGGTGGTTCATGTATGGAATGAACTTCGTAAGGAAGTGGTAGATGTGGGTACAATTATAACGTTCAAAAGACATTTAGATAAGTACACAAATAGGAAAGGTTTCGACAGATATGGGCCAGGAAAAGGCAGGTGGGACAATGGAACAAGTTTTGTTGGGATTATGTTCGGCATGGATGGGTTGGACCGAAGGGTCTGTTGTCATGTCGTATGACTCTGACTATGCAGGACAACATGAAACAGCCATTCGTAAGTACAAAGAAATGTTCGAATGTCGGATTTTTAAAATTAATATTAATACATCCACGAGTAGATAGCATTCGTAAGTTGGACCTTGAAAGTTCGGGATTCCCTGTAATTGGAATACCAATAAGGTTCACAAGTCGAAAATAAAAAATGTTGCACACTGTTCAGATGTGCAATACGATGCTGCTTTTGGAAGCAGCAAGAATCAGAAGTCAAGACTGAGCAACACCAAGAATCTTTCAAGTTAAGGAAATGCTACCTGACAGCAGTTCTCTGGTTGACCTACAGACTTTTAAAAAGGCTGATAGGAGCCAAGAGCAGCGGTGGAAGAGACACCCAGAAGCCTCCAGACACAAAGCATCAATACCTCTCCCTCTCTCTCTCTATACCCAAACCCCTTCCCAAATCAACCATCAAACCAAAGGCTGACAACAGTGTGCCGTCAGTACGAAAATCAAAAGGACTAAAAGAAAAATAACTCTGCACTTTACGGTCTGGACTTTTGATCTTTGGAATTTTGTTTACCTTGGCCATAGTCTATGTTAAACCGTCTGTCTACTGACTCTTAATTGTGATTGCGTGTGTGTTTTGAAAGAATGCAATTTAAATTGGTATAAATTAGAAATCTGTTCTTAAGTACACAATAAACAGGTTTTTTTCTGTTATTGAAGAAATATGGCTGATTGCTTTGTCCTGTACAGTAATCAGACAAATTAGACATTTTGGTTGTCTCACTCAGATTTTATACATTTATGCAATTTGTGATGGCTTGTCAAACGGTGAAACAGGATTATCGGTGCACTCATCCCAGTTAAGCTGTGACAGTTGACAACTTTTTGACAACATCAGCAAATGAAAATCCATTAGCTTAGGCACAACTTCCACAGATTGATAAGACTACAGTTAATGTGTTTCCAACGCACATGTACAAAGTTGGTTTATATTATTCAGGTATTTATAATCCTATTTACAGCATCTTGGATCTCAGATGTAAACTTGACAATGTACTGCATTAATTACAGTAAGATTCACTACATTCTCCTTGCTCCCCTACCACAGTATGATCATTCCTGAAGTTACAAACCTTTTAGATTCCACATTCATTTGCAAGGAATTCTTTACCTCAGTTGTCTCACCACAGCCTTCTATTCTATTTTCAGGGGGCAAGTTTTCTCTGATTGGTGGCCCCATGAGTGAATTCCTCATGAAATTTGGGGTCTTTCAGGGGCAGTTACACACTCCAACCCTACTCAGCCCCAATCTTGTACAGAGGAAGCCTGCATGTATTGTGAAGATGCTCCAGAGAAAAATATAGGCTAATATTTTAACCAGCCCTCTGAAAGCAGGCTGGGAGGTAAGAAGGATGGTAAAATGACACAGGAAAGAAGCAGGTGGCATATCAATATATTATCACCACCCTCACATCTTGCCAGCAGCTGGATGGTGGCATATGGATTGCTCACTGCATGGATTGCATGGAGTGCAGCTCTTAAGTGTGTAAGAATACAAGAAATAGGACTAGGTGCCTCTCAAACAGGCATCCACCATTCAACAAGATCATGTCTGATCCGCTCTAGGCCTCAACTTCTCTTTCATGCCTACTCAGCATAGCTGCCAACTCCCTGATATTTCAAAATCTATCTCTTCTTCAGTGATGCCGCATCCACAACATTTCAGGCTAGTGTCGGCATTGAGAATTCCAAATGTTCACTTCCCTTTGGAAGAAAGTCCGTCACAGTTCAGTTTAAAAATTAGTGTTCACTTATTCTATAACCATGTGACCTAGTTCAAGATGCCCCCACAAGTTCAGAAAAGGAAGATTTAGCCAACCTAGGAGTGGCTGATGAAGAAGCAATTCATTTTTCAGTAGTCATAACCTTGGGCCTTTCCTCATCAAGTATAAAAATAAAATCTGTCCACTTTGACTAGCATAAATTCAGATCTATACAAACATAAAAGATTTTTTTTAACAGTACCATGATGCAATTAAGTTGATCAGACTTCAGCTTAAAAGATTTTCCTTTCCAAACTTCTTTTCTTAAGATCGCAAATCTTAAATTTGACTACACTAGTTTCAATCTAGACTTCAATCTAGAAATGATCTTATAATTTAAGAACTTAATTGAATGCTTTAACACTGGAAAAAAATGAAGGTTATTGAAGCTCACTTGGATCTCCAATTTTAGTAAAATGGAATCCAAATTACTAATGAAAATTGTGAAATAACATAGCATTTTGGAAATCTGAAGCAGAAAAAAAATAATGCTTTATTTGTTGTAAAAATATTAAACTGGACCTTGTTATAAAAATATTAAACTGGACCATCTAATCAATTAAAAGAGTCCTTATCCAAATTTAAAATTTAGGAAGCGTATGGATAGATGTTCCATGGTGGAGCTGGAACAACTGTATACTCCCTCCTCTGCCAGAATGATATATAAAACTTACATGTTGGTAATGAAAACGGGATTTGATAAGCTTAAAGTACTTGATTAAAGATATTTTATTTATGTTTGTATAATCTACATTTATGTTACAGCAGACGTTTATATTTTTATGCGTAATGGAAAAAGGCCTAAGGATTATAACTGTTGGAAACTGTAAAACCCCTCATGCTGTAGATTGTGATGGGATGTATAAATACCTCTTGTATTGAGACAACTCAAGAGTGTCACATGCTACATCGAAAGAACTATATTAAACTTTCAATATGCTGTATTTTGATCTGTTACGAAATCTAACTGTACAATCTTTACAATGAAACTATACTTTTTTGGAAAAGTAATTTCATCAATAATTTCACCCTAATGACCCAATTCTTCATGTCCCTCTGCCTTTCACGACCCAGCCATGCCTCTCCTTTTAACTCCCCTCCCCAACACCCTCCTTACATTAGCCTCTGCGTTTTTGAATCCCCCAATGGCTGAACTCACCACCTCCCGGCCTCAACAGTCAAAATATCCTCGTCCCTCAGTCAACCTCCAATTCCTCTCACCTGTGTGCCCTTCCCTGCCCCGGGTGGCCCCAGCAGAATAGCCCTGATCCCCTTCTGGACACGGTTCTCTCTCGGTTCCTTGCCTGCTCCTGGACTCATGTTTCGTTTGATGTCGGTTGGTTTTGAAAGGCCGGGACCAACTCCACTCGCCGCGCGCTGCCTCGAACACTTCCTCTCGCGCTAATTCCCAGCTCCTCGCGCCGACTCAGTGCAGGGAGGAACTAGAGCGCGGCCGCAGCGCCTGCACGGTCGCAGTGTGAGGCGGGCAGCTAGAGCGCATGCGCGGTCACGGTGGCGCGACGGGCAGCTAGAGCGCATGCGCGGTCACTGTGGCGCGATGGGCAGTTAGAGCGCATGCGCGACCACCGTACGGCCGGTAGCTCGAGCGTATGTGCAGTGACGTGGTAGGCGGCAGTAGCGGCAGCGCTGGTTGTTTCGTTCCTTCAGCCGGAAGTGGATATTACGTTAAAAATTCAGTGCCAGTCTTTCAAGCGTGCACTGTCTAGTTATCATGTTTGTCTATTCAAATTAATTTATCTTATTACTTTGTAATTACTTTCGGCATTCTTGCTTTCATCGTTCAGAGAGGGTATTGAGTATAGGAGATGGGACGTTTTGTTGCAGCTGTATGAGGGGTTGGTGACGCCACATTTGGTGTGCTGTGTGCAGTTCTGTTGCCCTACTATGGAAAGGACATTATTAAATTAGAAAGAATGCAGAAAATATTTACTAGGATGCTACCTGGACTGGAAAGTTTGAGTTATAATGAGAGATTAGAGAGGCTGGTACTTTCATCCCTGTAGTGTAGGAGAATGAGGTGTGATTTTAGAGGTCTATAAAATCATGAGAGCTGTCGATAAAGTAGTTAGTCAACAGCCTTTCCCCATGGTAGGGGAGTCTAAAACTAGAGGACAAAGATTTAAGGTGAGAGAGGAGTGATACAAAAGAGTTCAAAAATGCAATATTTTTCTCAGAGGGTGGTGTGTCTGGAGTGGGCTGCCAGAGGTAGTGGTGGAAATTAGTACAATTTTGTCATTTAAGAAACATTTAGACATGTATATGGAGGGATATCGATCAAACACAGATAAATGGGACTACTTTGATTGTGAAAACTGGGCACATGGGCAGGTTGGGCCAAAGGGCCTGTTTCTATGCTGTCGTCCTCTATGACTATAAGTTGTTTGAGTTTTATCGTCTGACTTAATTTTTGAATTAGCTATCTAACGGACTGCAGGAGCCTAAGAAAACTCTTTACTCTGTTCATTTTCTGCTGAACTTTGGGATAGTTAATAAGGTTCTTGGAAATTAATCTCCTGTATGCTACTACTTAAGTATCTCAGGGATGGTGCAAGGCAAACCCAGGCACAATAAAAATTGTCAACTTCCCATTTTATTTCAAAAACTTTTGTTTTTTACAGTCATCCTAAAAATTATATAAACGCTGTACATTGAGTGGTTGAGGCAGTTGGAGACAATGGGCCATTTGGCAAAACTGCAAGGAATTTGATCAGCCTGATTTTAGCCTCCAGAACAGAAGGTCAGCTTGCTATGCAGAAGGTAATACCAGTTAAAAAGATACTTAGAAATTCCCATTCTGTCCTGTCTGTTCTTACGATGCCACCTTCTGGGGGGGGCTCGAATATTCACCTTTTTCCTCACCTGCGGATTTCCTGCTACCATGGTCAACAGTGCCTTTAGCTGTGTTCGACTCATCTCCTGCACTTCTCCCCTCCCCTCCCCCCCCCACCCCCCCCCCCCCTCGTATATGATGGTCTCCCCTGATCTTCACATACCATCCCACCAGCCTGCACATCCAAACGATAATAAGCTGCCATATCAGTCACCTCTAACGGGATGCCATGACTAGACACTTTTGACCTCCCCTCTCTTGTCAGCATTCTGCAGGGACTGTTCCCTCTGGGACATGCTGTTCGACGACTCCTCCATTCCCAACATCTCACACCCACACAACATCTTCCTATTCAATCATAGAAGGTGTAATACCTGCTGGTTTACCTCTTCTCTCTCCTTATAATCCGAAGCCCCAGACATACTTTCCAGGTGAAGCAGCAATTTACCTGTACTTCATTAACCTACCCTACTGTACTCACTGTTCACAGGGTTATCTCCTCTACAGTGGGGAGACGAAGCACAGGATGGGTGACTGCTTTGCAAAACACCTATATTCTGTCTGCAAAAATGACCCTGAGCTTCCAGTTGCTTGCCACTTCAACACTCCACCATGTTCTCTGGCCAACATTTCAGATTTAGACCTGCTGCAGTATTCCAGCGAGCCTCAATGCAACCTTGAAGAACAAAATCTCATTTTCCAATTGGGAATCCTTGAGACTTTAGGACTCAACATCAAGTTCACTAACTTTAGAGCCTGATTCTGGCGTTTTGTGTTTTTACTCACTTCATACTCTGTTTCTGTTATGACATAGGTTGCTTTTAGCACAGTAAGCCAACTGCAGGTACCCCTAGGCCTGTTATCAGATTATATAGGTTGCAATCATTACAGCTCACCCATTTTCTCCTACTCCTACTTTCGGCGGCACATTGGTTACCACTACTGTGTCACAGCGCCAGGATTCCAGGTTTGATTCCAGCCTTGGGTGACTGTGTAGAGTTTGCATGTTCCCCCCGTGTCTGCATGGTTTTCTGCCGGGTGCTCCAATGTCCTCAAACAGTCCAAAGATGTGCAGGTTGGGTGGACTGACCATGTTAAATTGTCCTCAGTGTCTAGCAATGTGCACTTGGGTGGATTAGCCATTGTAAATGTGGGTTTATGATGGTAGGGGACTAGGTCTAGGTGGGATGCTCTTCGAAGAGTCAGTGCAGACTTGATGGGCAGAATGGCCTCTCCCTACACTGTAGGATATTATTAATTGTTATTATCACTTATTTAGCTTCTGTCCTGGCCTGCTATCCATAATCTCCTTGTTTACCTACCCCTTTTATATCTTTCTCTCTGGGCTCCATCTTCATCTTTCCCAACCTCTATTTTAAAGATGTTCAAATACTGAGCTTCCACAGCCCTGTGGGGTAGTGAATTCCAAAGATTTACAACCTTCTGAGTAGAAAAATGTTTCCTTATCTCAATCCTAAATACCTCCTCCTTATTTTTAAATTGTGCCCAATGCTCTAAACTCAGCAACCAGGGAGATATTTCACTTGCATCTACCCTGTCTATCCCTTTAGTACTTTGTAGGTTTCAATTAGATTGTCTCTCATTCTTTGAAACTCCATAGAATACAGGCCCAGTTTGTCCAATCTCTCTTCACAGGACAGTCGTACCACCTTGGGAACGGGTCCGATGAACTTTTGTTGCACTTCCTCTATGGCAATAATGTCTTTCCTGAGGTAAGAAGACTAAAACTGCACGCAGTATTCCAGGTGCCAGCTAACCAAGCTTCTATATAATTGAAGCAAGACGTCAGTACTCCTGTACTCAAATCCTCTCACAATGAAGGCTAACGTTCCATTAGCCTTTCTAATAGCTTTCTGTACCTGCAAGTTAACCTTCAGTGACTTTTTGACAAGGAAACCCAGGACCCTTTGCACATCTACATTTTCCAATCCCTCATCACTTAATACTCAGTACAGCTGTTCCTCCTACCCATGTGGACAAGCTCTCGTTTTTCCATATTATTTTCCACCTGTCGTGATCTTGCCCATTCATAAGTCTGTTCAAATCCTTCTGATACGACTTTACATCTTCCTTAAAACACACATTCCTGCTGAGCTTTATGTCATCTGCAAATTTGAAAATGTTCCATCTGGTCCCCACACCTAAATAGTTGATAATATTGTGGACAGCTGACCCTTGCAGCCACAGTCTGTGAATGTGAGAATGACCCATTAATTCCAACTCTTTTTTTTTTCCCCCATTAGACAATTGCTAATGCCTGAGTTGTACTGCTACCTTTAGGGACCTGTGCACTTGCATGCCAAGATTTCCCACTTCATCTGTTCCTCTCAGTATATTCCCATTTATTATGTATTCCCATTTACTGTCTGATGTTTATAAGTGCATTACCTCTTACTTATCAGAGTTGAACTCCATCTGCCACTTTCCTGCCCACCCAACCAACCCATCTATAACATTTTGGAGCTTATGGGTATCCTCTACACTATGCACTACATGGCCAATTTTTGTATTGTCTGCAAAGTTCTCCAATTGTGCCTCCTATGTTCAGGTTGAAATCATTAATATACAAAACAAACAGTAGGGGTCCCACCAGCAAGACAGGTGGAACACCACTTGAAACAACTTTCCATTCACAAGGGTAGCCATTGACTATTATCCTTTGTTTCCTGTTACTAGGGCAACTTTGGATCCAATTCGACACATTACCCTGTTTCCATGCACTTTCACGTTTTTCACCAGTCCACCATGCCGGACCTTGTCAAATGCTTTACTAAAATCCATGTAGGTAACATCCACTGCACTACCCTCATTGATCCTCCTTGTTACTTCCTTAAAGAATTCAATCAAATTTGTAAGATATGACCTTCCCTTAACAAAGCAATGCTGACTGTCTCTGACTAGTCCATGCCTTTCTAAGTGACAGTTTAACTGCGCTCTCAGGATTGATTCTAACAATTTGCCTACCACTAAAGCAAGACTAACTGGCCTATATTTGTTTGGCGATAGCAAGAACTGTTTGGCATTTCCATTGTACCCTTTTAAAAAAACACATCTGCATTCCTCCAGTACTCTGGCTTCTCCATTGTGTCTAGTGAAGATTGGAAAATAATCCTTAGAGCATGTGTTTTTTCTTCCCTGATCTCCTGCAACATCTTAGGGAACAATCCATCCAGTCCTGGCAACTTATCCACTTTGAAGAATTCTAACTCCTGTAATACTTCCTCTCTGGTTATGATTATTTTGTCTGATATTACACACTGTTCTTCTTGGATTACTATATCTAGATTATCACTTTCATTTGTGAATATGCGGACAAAAATAATTTTAAATGTTTCCCATATCCTCTGCATCTTCACACAAGTTCCCTTCTTCATCTTTGTTAGGGAAAAAGTAGGACCTATTTGTCCTTTTGCTCTTCATATACTGGTAAAACATCTTTGGGTTTTCCTTCATCTTGTTTGCTAATATTTTTCGTGCCCTGTCCTTGATTTCCCTATTTCAATTTTTACTTTATCGCTGTATTTTCTGTACTCCCCTCGGCTATCTGCAGTGTTGAATTTTTTGTGACTATCATAAGCTTTGTTTTTCTGTTTAACCTTTCCCTGCATTTTTCTAGATGACCGTAGGGGTCTAGATTTGACAGTACCATTCTTATTTTTGGAGGGCACATGTCTGCTTTCTGCCCCAACGATCTCACTTTTTGGTGCCTCCCATTGGTTTACCATTGATTTATCCTTTAGCAGTCCTGTCCAGTCCACCTCAGCCAAATCACTTCTCAGTTTTATAAAATTTGCCTTCCCCTAGTTAAAAACTTGTACTCATGATTTATCTGTCATTTTCCATAATAATACTAAATCTAAGCGAATTGTGGTCACTATACCCGACATGGTTACCCACTGTCACTTTACTCGCTTGCCTGTCTTCACTGCCCAAGACGAAATCCAGAATTGCAATTTCTCTAGTTGGACTTGTCACGTATTGTTTTAAAAAAAAATTCCTGGATACAGTACATGACTTTTTCACGCTCAATGCCCCTAATATTTTTTGAAAGCCAGTTGATATTGGGATAGTTAAAGTAGAATCATAGAATCCTCACAGTGCGGAAGCAGGCTACTCAGCATATCAAGTCCACACTGACCCCTGCAAACAGCATCCTACCGAGACCTACCCCCTACCCTATCCCTGTAACCCTGCATTTCCCATGGCTAACTGACCTAGTCTACACATCTCTGGACATTATGGGCATTTTAAGAATGGCAGATCCATCTAACCTGTGCATCTTTTGAACTGTGGGAGGAACCCAGAGCACCTGACGGAAACACATGGAGACATGGGGAGAATGTGCAAAGTCCGCACAGACAGTCACTCAAGGCTGGAATTGAACCCGGGCCCCTGGCACTGTGAGGCGGCAGTGCTAATCACTGAGCTACTGTGCCACCCGCCCCCTACTATTTATGCCCTCTTGTTCCTACAGGCAGAAGTTTCATATATGTTCTTCTATCTCCCTTTCACTCTGAGGGTTTCCAGTATACTCCTAGAAGTGTGACTGCCCCTTTTTTATTCCTAAACTCAATCTATGAAGCCTCATTTGTTAACCTATTTAGTATGTCATCCATTCTCACAACTGTAATTGATTCTTTAACCAATACTGCTACCCTGCCTCCTTCTTTTTGTCACCCACTCTATCTTTCCTGAAAATTCTATATTGAATTGCCAGTTCTGCCTCTCTCTTAGCCAAGTATCTGTTATTGCAACAACTTCGTGCTGCCATGTGTCTGTCTGTGCCCTTAGTTTATATGCCTTCTTTATAATAGTCCTTGCATTGTATAAACAGCTTAAACACACCAATTTCCTTTTCTGGATGTTTCTTAATCCTCGTTCCATTGTCTTTCTGAAACATTGACTACATTACTAACTAATGTTATACCTCCTGTTTTCCTGGTCGGAATCCGACCCAAGTCTGCAAGAGGTGGGGCATAGTCAACCCCTTTGTTTTATAAAAGAACAAATTTCTCCTTGTTTGAAGTTTCACTGACACTTTACTGGTGCAACATTCCATGAGCTTCACACAGGAATTTGCCAGTGACTTTATGACAGTGTAGTTTTCTCCCCCCTTTAGTAGTGCTGTAGTTTTTTTAAAAATTCAAATTAAAAGTAAAAATGTCTATAAACACTTCAAGGTTCTGATCTGTTGTAATAGCATTTATGACATTATCTGGTCGCTGTTTGTGAGAACTTGCTACATGCAAATTAACTTGTGTTTCCAGCATTAAATTCACCTCCTTTTGCATTGTATCATTATTTCCTTTGTCATTCAATTTCTCTTGGCTTTCACTCCACCACAAGGCCACTGCTTTTGTGCTTTCTTCCCTATTCAACCCTTTTCCCTGTCTTTTTGTTCTTGACTAAATGATAGATATGCAAATATTTTTTCCAGTTCTGAACAAAGGTCACTGACCTGAAAACTGATCTCTGCTTCTCCCACATAGCTGCTCGCTAATCCGATGAACATTTCCAGCATTTTCTGTCTATTTGGGCCACAAGTATAATATAGTCAGAAGCAAATCCAACAAAAAGGGTGAAAAGAATATGGAACTTGCTACTTCAAAGAGTAAGAAGGAATAAGTGCAACTTACATTTAAATAGCAAATTTAATAAAATAAAGCATCCCAGTTCAGGAACATTAAAATAAAAACCAAAAGAACAGTAGATGCTGTTAATCAGAAACAAAATCAAAAATTGCTGGAAAAGCTCAGCAGGTCTGGCAGCATCTGTGAAGAGAAATCAGAGTTAACGTTTTGGGTCTAGTCACCTTTCCTCAGAACATGAAATTAAAATAAGTCACATTAGGAAATATTAGGTCAGATTATCAAAAGCACAATCAAAAAGATTTTAAGGAGCATCTTAAAGGAGGAAAATGAGAAAGGGGGGTTTAGGGAGGGTGAAGCAGAGCTCATCAATTCTATTAGTTACATCCTGGAAGAATTCGGTAGAATTGTCACAATTTCGTGTTATAAATCAATGCTGATTCTGATGATGCCAGCAGTGTTTTCCACTTTTACAATTGTGCCACCTTGGCCTCGTCCAGTGGTCCCCAGCATTACGTACCAGACTTCAGCCAATTCAATTCAATCTGTATGATGTCAAGAAACGTTTGGAGGCACAGGATGCCACAAAGCTATGGGCTCTGACAACATCCTGGTGGTACCAAGGACGTGCCCCAGAACTTGATGTATCACTAGCTGTTCCAGTACAGCTACAACACTGTATCTACCAGACCAGATGGAAAATTGCTCAGATATGTCATGTACACAAAAAGCAGGCCAAATCCATTCTGGCCAAATACCACTACAGCTGTCTCGATCATCAGTAAAGTGATGGCAGGTGTCATCAACAGTGCTATCAAGCAACATCTGCTCAGTGATTCTTAGTTTTGGTTCTGTCAGGGCCTTTCAGCTCCTGACCTCTTTACAGCCTTGGCTCAAACTTGAGACAAAAGAGCTGAATTGCAGAGGTGAGGTGAGAGTGCGTTCCTTGACCTGAAGGCTACATTTGACCAAATCCGGCATCAAAGAGCTCTAGCAAAATTGGAGTTAATGGAAATCTGAGGGAAATCTGGTTAGAGTCATACCTAAAGGTAGGTGATTTTTGGTGTTGGAGATCAGTCATCTCAGCTTCAGGATATCACTGCAGGAGTTTCTTAGAGTAATGTCCTTGGCCCAACTATCACCAGCTGCTTCAATGATCTATCCTCCATCATAAGGTATGAAGTGGAGATATTTGCTGACAGTTGCAAAATATTCAGCACCTTTCGTGACTGCTCAGATACTGAAGCGGTCCATGGCCAAATGCAGCAAGATCCAGACAGTATTGCTGCTTGGGATGACACGTGGCAACTAACATTCGTGCCACATAGGTGTCAGGCAAAGACCATCTTCAATATCACCCTTTTGACATTCACTGGTATTGTCATCACTGAGTCCTCCAGCATCAACATCCTGGGGCTTAGCATTGACCAAAAACTGAACTGTACTAGTCATTACAAGAACTATGGCTGCAGGAGCAGGTCAGAGGGATGAGGAACAATGACAAACATTTAAGAAAATAGTTTATGATTCACAACAAAGATATATTCCAGCAGGAATGAAGAATTCGAGAAAGGGGATTAATCAACTATGGCTAACCAGCATCAAATTGAAAGAAACAACATACAATGCAGCAACAATTAGTAGAAAGCCAGAGGATTGGGAAAGTTTTAAAAACTGACAAAAGATGAACAAATTAATGATGATAAACTTTGAAGGTAAACCTGTATGTAATATCAAAAAGGACAGCAAGGACTTCTTTAAAACCATAAGAAGGAAGAGAAGGCCAAAGAGAGCATAGGCACCTTAGAGAATGAGGATAGGAAAATGATAAGGAGCCAGGAAAATGCAGAAGAGTTGAATAAATATGTTGCATGTTTGCATTGACACTGTTCCAAAAATACTAAATAAGGGGCAAGAGGAGGAGAGGAAATAAATGCTATAACAATCACTGGAGAAAAAGTACTAGACAAAGTAATGAGGCTAAAGACCCATCAGTCTCCTGAACCTTATGGCTTCCATCCGAGGATGTTAAAATAAGTAGCTACAAACATAGTGCATTTACTGATTGTCATCTTCCAAGAATCCTGAGATTTTGGAAAGACCCAGAGGATTGGAATACTGCTAATGTAACACCTTTATTTTAAAGGGGAGGAGACAAAGTAGGGTAACAAGGTCATTAAGCTTAACATGTCTTCTTGGGAAAATGTTAGAGCTCATGTTAATATACTACCTCCAATACCATGGTTTCTTCTTAAGTAGGCCAATATGTGGCACTTTAAACAGTGCACCTGAAAATCCAAATACATTACCTTCACTGTTTTCCTTTCATCTATCCTACTTGTTACTGCCTCAAAGAATTCTAATACATTTGTCTGGCATAATTCTCCTTTGCAAACCCTTGCTAACTCTGAATGATCGTATTATGTATTTCTAAATGCTGTGGTATTACATACCTTATAATACTCTAATAGATCTTTTTCTTACCCTCCCACACTATCTCTATCTCTTCTTCCCATTCTCTCTTTCGCTGCCCATCACTATCTCTTCCACTATTTATCTCTCCTATTCTTCAACTTTGCATATTTCTCTCTTTATCTCCTACTGTCTATCTCTGGAGCTGTTCACCCTATCTCTCCTACTCTATTTCTCACTCCCACTTTCTCTATTTCTCCCTGTCTTCCTCTTCCTCTCCCTCCTTCACTATTTCCAGCCTTACCACTACTCCCCTTCTACCTGTTGCATTGCTGAACTCAGCCAGCGGCGCCGCTGCTGCTGACACGTGTCCGTTTCTTGATTGGTGAAGGCCGTGGAAGCCGTGATGAAGTCACAAAGAAGCAACAGCCAATGGGCGGCGGCCACGGCAGGAACAGGAGCGCGCTGTGCTGAGCGTGACTAGTAAAGCGACTAATCACCCGCCGGTCGGAGGCAGCTGCCTGAGAGACTGAACACCTACGAGAGAGAGGGATTAACCGACTGGCCGGCGGCAGCTGCCCGACAGACTGAGCAACCGCGAGAGAGGGACTGGCTGGAGGAGCGCCCGTGAGGTAGGGACTAACTGCCAGTACTCGCCGACTGAAACAGGGCCCAAGCTCCGGTTCGCCACCGCCTCCCTTCCTTCACCGACCAGCGCAACCGGATCACCTTGGTGCTAACTATGCAGCCCAGGAGCAGCGAGATGGGGCTGCTTCGTGTGTTCGGTGAGTGTCTCCCACTCAACCTTTTACATCGTAAAGGACGCGAATCTTTGAAACGGAGAAATGCACTGACTGACATCCCTTGGCCTTGCGACTTGGTATCTGAACTGCTATCTCTTTTTCGCCCCCCCCTCCTTGAATACACGGGAAGGCCGTTCTGCCTCATTTGAGTAACGTTAAAGTCTGATGTCTGGCTGGTTACACCAAAAGTTCGAGGAAATCTTAGTGGGCCCAATTAATGCAACATGTAAGATGTGAAGGATATATGTTGCTATAAATTTACTAAAATGTTCTTTTGTTCACTCACTTTTCCCAACACGACTTATTTTTGAATGGAGTTTGCTTTTTTTTTTCTTGCAAATACTCCAGAGTTGTTCTGTGACTTTTCAAATGCAAATATGTCAGATGAAGTTTCATGAATCTCCAATTATAATATTCTTGAACCTTGTGAAAACTTTGTTTTTGGAACTGCAAATTGACACTAATGTAAAGCAGCTTCTATATGCTAAAGTGACTCAGTGAAACTTGATGTAAAACGATTTTAACCTTCTAAGATTTTTCCAGAAGGAAGTTGAGATTGTGCCTACTTCTCATGTGAAGTAATCACTGAGAATGAAGCAAAATTTTGATCACAGCTAATGTTGCTAGGTACTTTTAATGTCTTGATAAAACAAGAAATCAAAAAAAATCATAATATGCACAAATATTTTGTTTGATGGGACTTGTGTCAGTGATACACCAGCATTTATTGCTTATCCCTAATTGCCCAGAGGGTGATTGGGTTGCTATATTGCTGTGGGTCTCATGCAAGTTAGCCAGGTAAGGATGGCAAACCATTTTTCATCCAGAAGTCCTCTTAGACACAACTGAACACTTTTTCCCCATCACCAAATCACCCGAGGCTTATTTTCATTTGTTAGCCCTCTCCATTTAATCAAGTGATTAATTTAAATACACTGCTTGTTTAAGGAAGTGCAACCTAAAGGACACTAGTGAACCAGATCAACAATTATTGCATGTTTGCCCTTAGGCTAACTTTAAATGACATGTTAAAACTTAATTCAGAACTTTAGTCAACAGCTATTCCGGTGACTCTTAATCAAGTTAATTTTTCAATCAAAAATTGTGACCAGATTTCTGCAGTTTCCTCAATTGGTTAAACTTTCTAACAGTATTGTGTTGCATATGCTCTTGTGAATTTAGGCCTGGAGTAAGTGTACAGAGGAAGGAAGAATATTTTTGTTGTGGGGGGGGAAAAAAAAGTGGACACAACATATAGTTTAACTGGCTCAATCTGCATTATGCTGCATGTTTAATTTTAAATGTTAAATAATCCTGTAGAGTTTACATTAACGTAGAAACCTCACTAATGGAGTTTTCTTGGCTTGTCAGTTGGTTCTAATCACTGAATTAATATCTAGAAAGAAACGTATGATTTTGAAACATACGTTGCTCAGTAAGGCATTAATTTTGAGTTACACAACCTTGGAGCCCCTCATTCTCAGGCTTGCATGACAAACCTGGCACAACTTTTGAAGTTCAATATGTTTGTAGTGTTGTATAAGATGTATGTTTCATTAGCATTTGTTATACTGAATTATGCAAGGAACGAGCTTTTGGAAAAATTTGTTTTTTTTTTTTGTTTAAAAGTTTTTTGTGGGCATGTTTTTGATCCATCTATATCTGCAGTACCAACATTCTGAGTCTAACATTGATGTCCTGTTTTGCTTTTGCAGGTATTTTTGGGTCTTTGCTGGTTACTGTTAGTGCTCTCTACTCAGCAAGTGATGATGTCGTGGAACTAACCCAAAGTAACTTCAACAGAGAAGTAATCGAAAGTGATGAACTTTGGTTGGTGGAGTTTTATGCACCATGGTAAGTCAAAACAACACCAATTTGATAATTGGAGCATGCTACACCTTGTTAATTATGAACCAGGTCATGGTGAGTGTGAATGCTACTACTGTAGCCTATTATTTTACAGTTGCATGATATTCTGCTTGCATTTTATTGTTTTGTATTTTACTTTATATACAGCATTTAATACAGACAAGCTTAAGGAAAAAATAGTATGCATTTATCCTTGTTATGATAATAGCCATCCATTTTAAAACCAGCACTTAAAATGGTGATAAATGTTTATAAGTTCATTGTACACGAGTACTGCTCCACACTGTTTCTGCAGACTAAGCAGAAAACCTAATTATTTGGATTTAAGGTAATCACAGAAATAATGTAGATTAAAGGTAGTTTGGTTTTTCCATGAGAAAATTCAAATGTAGATGTCAATTCTAAAAGTCTCAGTAAGAAATATCTAAGTCAGATTGAATCCAGATAAATGTCAGCCAGTATAATTGTGTGTAAAATTTGTTTTTCTGAGCAGTAGGAGTTTCTGTCCTCTTCCCCTTCTGAGTAAATGCATGGTGTTGACATCATCTTGCAGGACGAAAGTGAACAATTTTGTTCATCGTAACATTTAGCTGAAACGTTTCTTTGGGAGCTAAATTTCAATTGTCCCTTGAATGTTTGCTAGAGAGAGTAGGATTAAGCTGAATGGACAGAACAGATCATATGAATGCACTTTTGGTTTTCTTAAAGGCATTATACAAAGATTATTTTCTGCATTGTTTTGAAAATCATTAAATCATGCAAACTGAAATAGCATAAAAGCATGTTTCAGATCCTTTGTAGTGTTATAAAAGATTGCCTGCTTACAGCATATGATGGCCCAGGGATTGTAAATCCATATTAAGAACCTGTAACAGTTTAGCTTGTCTACTGAATTCTTTGGTCATCTAACTTGTAGGTCATGTCTATATACTCTCCTTAACAAATGACAAGCGTATATAATGATTATCAGGTGATCAGTGAACTGCACTTCATGACACAGCCTATTAGGCTTTAGAAGACTAAAGTGTCATCTTTGTCTAAGCTACAAGCTTATTCTTGTAACTAATTTCTTGATTGTCCCTGACCACTGTTCAGAACTGAAGCAGACCTCTTCCGTTCAATGTTCATTTATGACTTTCCATACCTCCATCACTGCTACATAACCATCTCTTCCTAGCGTTAACTAGTAAATCTCTACACCTCTTGCATGTGCTATTGCTCTGAAACATGATTATTTCATTAAATTCCTAATCACCCTTCACCCTTAATGTCAGCTATCTGAAACTTTGTCCATTTGTAAGTCCTTACGTGCCTTTTGTTCTTTGAGCACCACTAAATGTTAGCTCAGTAAACTTGCCAGGTCAGGATCTGAGATCAGTATATACTTTATTTAAATAAATATTTTAAATTTTCCAACTTTTACAAATCAGATCTTGACCTTCTATGGTTGGATTGTCTGAAATACAGCACATTCTCTAACACTTGGTTGAAATTACTTGTGTTTGCAAAGTGATTACTGCAGGCAGAAAATTGAGGTTTAAAAAAAAGCATGACAACACTTGAACTTCTTTGCTTAAATGCAATTTTTTTTGTAACTTATAACATTCTTTGCTTCACTGAATATGGAAAATCTGCTAAGTGAAATCCATGCTTGTTTTAAAAATGGAATATGGTCATCTTGTTGGCAAATAAGTACTAGCATTCAAAGTAGTTCACTCGTGTATAGCTGTAATAATTGGTTATCTTTAGTCATGCACTTATAATACATTGAATATTGACCACTTTATTTTTGATTGAACCTGATTTTAGTTGACTTTGTCTTTTCATGTTTCAGGTGTGGACATTGTCAGAATTTGGCCCCAGAGTGGAAGAAAGCTGCATCAGCCTTGAAGGTTTATATTGAATTGCATGCAACTTAATGAACTTTTTGGCTATGAATTGTGTTTCAGACTAATTGTTTGGAAATGAGAAATATTTTGGCTTTATTGGAATACTTGTATTGACAGTGCTTTAGGAAGGATGTGAAGTCATTCAGAGGCTGTGGCATGGAGGTGATTTTCTAGAATATTTTCAAGGATGAGAGATTTTAGCTACAAAATTAAGTTGGAGAAGGAGGTTTGTTCTCCTTGGAGCAAAGGAGATTGAGGTGAGACGATGGATGTATACAAGATTATTGCAGGGTTAGATAAGGTAGATAAAAGCTTTTCCCATTGAGATGGTACAAGGACTAGGAGGACACAGATTTTTAAGATTCTGGGCAAGAGCTATGGAACCTTTTTTGTATAGCGAGTGTAACGTCCTAACTCATTGCTTTGGGTGGTGTTAAAGTATCCAGTGATTAGTGAGGTACGGTTCAGTTGGAGAGGGCCTTGGAGTATCATGTGCAGAATTGGCATCCTTCTCTGAATGATGTTCTGGTTATGGAGGGAGTGCAACTAAGTCTTACCAGATTGGTTCCTGGGATGATGGGACTGATGTATGAAGGGAGATTAGAGCTATATTCACTGGTATTTAGAAGGATGAGGGGGAATCTCGTGGGGTTGAGGAGGATAAATGCAGGAAGGATGTTCCCAATGACTGGAGTCCAGAACCAGAAGTCTGTTGAAGGATAAGGGGTGTAGGCCATTTGGGACTGAATGAGCAATTCTGAGAAAAGCTGTGGAATTCTCTGCCACGGAATAGTTGATGCTAAAACACTGTTTTCAAGAAGTTGATGGATATAGGCCTTGGGGTTGAAGGGTTCAGAGGTATGGGGAGAATGTGGGAACAGGGTACCGAGTTGGATGATTGTATTGAATGCTAGAGCAGGCTGTCAGAGCTGAGTGGCCCCCTTCTCCTGTTTTTCTATCTTTCTATACTAACCAAGTGTTTCTTAGTGATGCTGTGCTGTAGAATGTACAAGAAATTGCTTTTTGCAATCACTTGAGACTTCATTGAAGTAAAGACGAAATTATGACTCTCTTTATGACTCTTGTAATATTGCAGGGAATAGTAAAGGTTGGGGCAGTGGATGCAGACAAGCATCAGTCTCTTGGTGGACAGTATGGCATTCAGGGATTCCCAACTATCAAGCTATTTGGAATAAATAAGAATAAACCAGATGATTATAATGGTAAGAAAAATTGTGGCGATACTTGGAATCAAAGTCAGATTACCAAGGGAAATTATAAAAATTCAGTTTGAAAACTTAAAGGGTGATTAAGTAGCTGAACAAGTTCCGAGTTAACTGGCGCACACTTCAAAGGGAATTTCTCTCCGACTGTACTTGGGCCAATGGTTCATTAAGACTTGTTGAATTGATATGTAGTCTGTCCTTGGTACATTTTTTTAGTCTTTTTCTACATGCAAAAGTAATCAATGGTTCCAACCTAAGTGTTTTTATCCTGAAAAAACTATTCGTTAAAATTTGACATGTTTTAGGAGTGCTAAATTGAAGTAGCGAATCTCTAATTGAAAGCTACTGTTGTAATTGCATGACTAAATTGTAACAAGCTGAATAAATAAAGGGCTTATGTTTTAATGGGGTGTATTACATTGTCATTTTTAATTCACTTACTCATTGTGATGTTAAATTTTAACTTTTGTGGAGGTTGGCTTCTGTTGTAAATTCATGAACTGTAACTTAAAATTCAAGAAATGCATGTAATCATTGACAATCTTACAATGTAGGTGCCAGATCAGCTCAAGGGATCACAGATGCAGCCATTAACTCTTTAAGGTCAATTGTCCGAGATAGACTCGGAGGCAAGAGCAGCTCAAGTTCTTCTGGGAGAAAGGTAAAAGTCTCTTAATGTGTTTGTACTGATAAATATACTCGTGCTGATTAAGTGTTTTGTTTTATCTTAAATAAACAAATCTAGACACTGAATGCATCTGTCACCTAAGAATGCATGTCAAGCAGCAGACTTGAGTAAACTAGCTGAGTTCACAACATGGAAATACCTGGCAGCCAGCAGCCGTTCTACTGAGGCTAGGAACAATCGGTCCTTTTGCACTGCTAGGAGGGGGAGCGGAGAGCTTCTGTTTTGCCATTGGAAGGCAACAAATAGGCTTCTGAGGGAGGCACGAGTAGTTTAGTTTGGGAGAAAACTGGTATTGCAAGAAGATAGAGAATGTGGCTTCATGGTGTGCGGAAGAAAGAAGAAACCTGCAATAGAAAGGTGTGGGAGCAGTCTTCAAGGTGGGAGGGTAGGAGGCTTCTTGAGACTTTAAGTTGGGGAGGGGGAGGGGGGTAGAAGAGAGGTGGAGAGAAGGGGAGAGAATGAGTGAGAGGAGAAGGAAGGAATGGTTTCAACCCTGTTCCATTTGGGAATACTCAACTAACTAAGAGCCAGGAAAACATGGAATCACTAGTTTAATGCTAAATTGTTCAGGTGCTATTCAAGGCGGAAGATTGTAGCAGATGCTGTTGTAATGAACACTGTCAATTGTAAAATTTTAAAGCTGAGATTGGAGTTGCAGTAGAAAGGGTAATGACTGGTTAAAATATCATCGCTTTGCAATGCAAACATTAAATGAGACCTCCATGATCTGGAAAACGTTTAGCGTGATGGCTTTTTGTGCATAGAACAGCCGCATTTTGTGTTGTGGCTTTAAGTTTAATGGTGTTAATGATTATTGAGGATGACTTCCAATCTGGGGGTATGGTGAGGTGAGGAAACGATCCACTGCCAGATCTGTACAGCCTGCCACATGAGTCAGGTGATGTTTGAAGAGGTGACTGGGTGAGATGCTCAGATTTTCATATGCTCCTTCTGTTATATGCTTTGCCTTTACATAGGCTTGGTGGAAATGGTCAAGATAATTGGTTGGCACCTTCGCAGATGCTGTTTTTGAGTAAGTGATTCCCATGAGTGGGAATTACATTTTAGCAGAAAGGCTTTGAGGATGTCTTTGAAGCATTTCCTGTGCCGTCCTGCTAACAGCTTGCTGTGATGGAGCTTGGAATAGTGAGCTTGTTTTGAGAATCTTACCAAACATGCAGACACTGTCCATCTGTCAGTCTGTCCGTCTGTCAAAACAATTTGCAGAGGCACTACTAGTGATACTTGGAGCAGACTGGGATTAAATCAGACAACAAGGTGCAGGGCTGGATGAACACAGCAGGCCTAGGAGCAGAAAGGCTGACATTTTGGGCCTAGACCCTTCATCAGAAAAGGGGGAGGGGAAGGGGGTTCTGAAATAAATAGGGAGAGAGTGGGAGGCGGATAGAAGATGGATAGGTGGAGAGGAAACAAACAGGTCGAAGAGGCGGGGATGGAGCCAGTGAAGGTGAGTGTAGGTGGGGAGTTAGGGAGGGGATAGGTCAGTCCAGGGAGGACGGACAGCTCAAGGGGGCGGGATGAGGTTAGTCGGTAGGAGATGGAGGTGCGGCTTGAGGTGGGAGGAGGGGATAGGTGGGAGGAAGAACAGGTTAGGGAGGCGGGGACAAGCTGGACTGATGGTCCAGCAGTCATTGGCTCCTGTCATGGTGCAGATGTTGCAAGCATCTTTGTCTCCTGTTCAGATGACGTTGAGCATGTGCCAGTGTCCAGACTGAGGAAGTTGCCATGGTGTCTTATATTTGTTGCTCTGACACAATAGTGTTGGTTATGACCAGGCCATGCCTTTGGCATTTTGTTAGGAAGGGGATTCCTTTTTGTGTTCGTCATCCCTAAACCTTCCTTGCTAATCACATCTTTTCAGAGATTTGGAATCACCAATCAGAATCAGGATTGACATGGCACAGTGACTGAGGAAGGAGTAAAAATCTTTTTTGGCCTCATCCTTTTTTTCTAGGGTTGGGGTGTACGCATTGACTGATGTGCTGCTTTTGGGCTAGATCGCGCTGAAGGGTCATAAGTCATTTATTCTAGAGAGGACCTTGCTGAGACTGGCATCTAGACTTGTTTGTTTTTATGACTAATCCATGCGGTCTGCATTCTTCCTCAGACATCCACATCTGGAATAATATCTGCCACCTGTCCTATTCATCCTCATCTACTTGTTTGCTGACCTCTTCGATTCTTTAGATGTAAATTTTTAACCTTCTTGGTTACAGAGCAGTGACAGTGGATCTGGTAAAAAAGATGTGATCGAATTGACTGATGACACCTTTGACAAAAATGTAATTGGCAGCGGTGACATTTGGATGGTGGAGTTCTACGCACCATGGTGTGGGCACTGCAAGAGGTACCCAATCACTTTTGTAAAGTATACTAGGGAGAAAATTGCTATTGTTAATACTGTTCAGTGTCATTCTGAAGTGTTCTGAAGAATTCCAAAGGGTCAGAGCAGTAAGATTTTGAAGGAATTTTTTTTTAAATAAATGTGAAGTTGATTGTATCTTATTGCAAATCACTTCTCAGTAATGAGCATCTGTTCTTCAGAATTTCTTAAAACTGTAGTCAGATACTTGTACTGTATCACATTTGATTTCATCACTTTGTTTTCAGTTTCAAAGTCTTTTTTTTTTGATTGATTGCATTGATTCAGTAAATAGTCCAGAGATGAGGCCATAAGGTATAGGGGAAGAAATAGGCAATTGAGCCCATTCATTCTGCTCCAGTTAATGAGCTCATGACTGATCAGATAATCCTGTAGTTCACATTCCTTTTTTTCCCCAAAGCATTTGATTCCCTAACGGATTAGGAACCTGAAGACCGAGGCCTCCAAGAATAAAAAGATAGCAGGAAAAAACTCAAACAAGGAGTAAGGATAGCTTAAAAGGTACCAAGAGATGTCTTTGGCAAACAGGATTAAGGAAAATCCCAAGGCCTTTTTATAAATAAGGAGCAAGAGAATAGGTAGGCAAAGGTAAGGTCCACTCAAGGACAAAGGAGGGGAATTGTGTGGAACTGGAGGAAGTGGGTGAGATCCTGACACATTTGCATTGGTATTCACAAGGGAGAAGGACATAATGAGTCTTGGAAGGAAGATGTTGATGTTCTAAGACACGCTGATTTTTTTTTTAAGAAAAAAAGTGGTGTTGGGGCTTTTGAAAAGCATTAACATAGATGAGTCTCCAGGATCAGATGCTGAGGGAGGCAGGTGAGGAAATTGCTTGGGCCTTCCTTTGTATCCTCTTCAGTCACAGGAAAGGTCCCAGAAGACAAGAGAATAGCCTCTTACAAACTTTGGTTTGAGTATTTTTTTTTTTTTTTGAGGAAGCGACAAAGATGATTGAAGGCAGGATGACTTTTCGACAAGGTCCTTCATAATCTGATACAAAAGGTGAAGTCACATGGGATCCACAGTGAGCTGGATACAGAGATAGCAAGAACTGCAGATGCTGGAGTCAGACGACAAAGTGTGGAGCTGGAGGAACACAGCATGCTAGGCAGCCTTAGAGCAACAGGAAAGTTGAAGTTTCTGGCCAGGAGAAGGGTCTTGACCCAAAATGTCAACTTTCCTGCTCCTCTGCTGCCTGGCCTGCTGTGTTCCTGCAGCTCCACACTGTTGTCTCTGAACTGGATACAAAACTGGCTTAGTCATAGACAGTAAAGGTGGAAGGGTATTTTTTATTTTGGTCTGGAGATCAGGAATCAGTGCTGGGACTCTGGTTGTTTGTTACATATACAAATGATTTGGAGAAAAATAGTCGTACAGCACGGAAATAGGCCCTTCAGCCCAACTTGTCCATGCCGAGCAGGTTTCCTAAACTGAACCAGTCCTGTTTGCCTGTGTTTCGTCCATATCCCTCTCAACCTTTTCTTTCTGTGTACCTATCCAAATGTCTTAAGTGTTGTAATTGTACTTGCTACTAATCTGATAGTTCATTCCATATGTGCACCACCCTCTGGCAAAAGTTGCCCCTTGTGTCCCTTTTTTTAATTCTTTCCCTGCTTATTGTAAACGCACGCCCTCTAGTTTTGGACTCCCTTACCTTGGGGACTATCGACTTTATCTGTGCCCCTTGTGATTTTATAAACTTAGGTAAGGTCACCCCTCAGCCTCCTACGTTCCAAGGAACAAAGTCCCAGCCTCTCCTCCTCACTCAAACCCTCCAGTCTCCATTATGTCCTTAATCTTTTTTTTGTACCCTTTGCAGTGTAATAACATCCTATGACAGGATGACCAGAATTGTATGCAGTACTCCACATGTGGCCTTACCAATGCCTCGTACATCTGTAACATGACTTCACACCACGTGTACTCAGTGCTGTGACCAATGAAGGCAACATGGCAAATGCCACCTTCACCACCCTGTCAATCTGCAACGCCACTTTCAAGGAACTATGTACATGCACCCCTAGGTCTTTGTTCAACAACATTCCTCAGGGCCCTACCATTAACCTGTTTTGTATTTGCCCACTGGCCCAGTTGATCAAGATCCCATTGTACTCTTAAATAACCACCTTCACATTTCACTAACCACCAATTTTGGGATCAAACTTAGTAACCATGCCTCCTAATTTCTCATCCAAATCATTTATATAAATAATAAACTAGTGGACCCAGTACCAATCCTTGTGGCACACTGCTGGTCACAGGCCTCCAGTCTGGACAACAACTCTCTACTACCACCCTCTGACTTCACAGTTGAAGACAATTTTGTATCCAATTGGCTCACTGCCCTTGGATCCCATGTGATCTAACCTTGTCAGGCTACCGTGTGTAGAACCTTACCTAAAGGCCTTGCTAAAGTACATGTAGATAACATCTACTACTCTGCCTTTGCCTTTGTATAGGTGGCCTAATTAAGTTTGCAGGTGACCCAAAGATTGAGGAGCTGTGGATAGTGAGGTGGATTGTCAGGATGTGGCAGAGTATGGGCTGGAGACTTGGCAGATGGAGTTTAATCCACACAACGTGAGGTGATGTATTTTGGGAGATGTAATGCAGGAGGAAATTTAAACAGTAAATGGCAAATCCTTAGTAATATCAACATAGGTTTAAGGTAAAAGGGGGTAAGTTTTTTTTTAAAAGGAGATGCGAGAAGCAGATTTTTACAGAAGGTGATAAGTATCTTGAATGTGCTGCCAGCAGACGTGGTAGTGGAGGTGGATATCATAACAGTTTAGGAGGCATCTTGACCTATAGAGGGATATGCACGGCGAAGAGTCAAAAGGGCCTTAGTTTGAAAAGGCATCATGTCAGAGCTGTCTGTTGTGAGCTGGAGAGCCTGCTCCTGTGCTGTGCTGTTATTCTTTGAAATGCTTGCTTTTGACACTTTCCACAATTTAATAGCCTTTCAATATATGAAGAATGATAACTGCTACGTACTAGAAAGTAACTTCTGCCTAAGAAGCTGGTCATCAGGAGTCTTTGCTATTCAGGCAATGTAAAATAGTTGGAGTAGGGTTGGGGTAAGAGGGTGGTGATACATTGTTTTTAGTTTTGCTTTACTCCAACTTTAAGTTGCATGTGAAAATTATTGATTCTGTGTGCTTGCATGTAGTTCCCTGTACTAATGAATGTAACTATAGATTGGCTGCTGAGTTTCTGAATTAATGTATTACATTCTTTTACTTGTGTGTAAGATTATGAAGTCAGTCATCATCTACATCTGGCCAATTAAGACTTCAGATGACCAAACCATCATCTCGCAAACCATCCACAACCTCATTACCTCAGGTGACCTCCCACCCACGGCCTCCAACCTCATCGTTCCCCAACCTCGCACTGCCCGCTTCTATCTCCTTCCCAAAATCAACAAACCTGAATGCCCTGGTCGACCCATTGTCTCTGCCTGCTCCTGCCCCACCGAACTGATCTCCAACTATCGAGACTCCATTTTCTCCCCCTTGGTCCAGGAACTCCCTACCTATGTCCGTGACACCACCCACGCCCTCCACCTCCTCCAGAACTTCCAATTCCCCGGTCCCCAACACCTCATCTTTACCATGGACGTCCAGTCCCTCTACACCTGCATTCCCCATGCAGATGGCCTAAAGGCCCTCCGCTTCTTCCTGTCCCGCAGGCCCGACCAGTCCCCCTCCACTGATACCCTCATCCGCTTAGCCGAACTCGTCCTCACACTCAACAACTTCTCTTTTAATTCCTCCCACTTCCTACGGACAAAGGGGGTAGGCATGGGTACTCGCACGGGCCCAAGCTACGCCTGCCTCTTTGTAGGTTACGTGGAACAATCCCTCTTCCGTACCTACACCGGCCCTAAACCCCACCTCTTCCTCCGTTACATTGATGACTGTATCGGCGCCGCCTCGTGCTCCCACGAGGAGCTCGAACAGTTCATACACTTCACTAACACCTTCCACCCCAACCTTAAGTTTACCTGGACCATCTCTAACACCTCTCTCCCCTTCCTGGACACCTCTGTCTCCATATCGGGCAACCACCTAGAAACCGATATTCATTTCAAGCCCACCGACTCCCACAGCTACCTAGAATACTCCTCCTCCCTCCCACCCACCTTTCTGCAAAAATGCTATCCCCTATTCACAATTCCTTCGCCTCCGCCGCATCTGCTCCAGGATGAGGCATTCCACTCCCGTACATCTCAGCTGTCCTCGTTTTTCAAGGACTGTAACTTCCCCTCCTCGGTGGTCGAGAACGCCCTCAACCGTGTCTCCCGCACCTCATCCCTCACACCCCGTCCACGCAATAAGAACCAAAAAAGAATCCCCCTCGTCCTCACGTACCACCCCACCAACCTCCGGATCCAACGCATCATCCTCCGACACTTCCGCCATCTGCAATCCGACCCCACCACCAAAGACATCTTTCCCTCCCCACCCTTATCTGCTTTCCGGAGGGACAACTCTCTCCGTGACTCCCTTGTCCGCTCCACACTCCCCTCCAGCTCCACCACACCCGGCACTTCTCCCTGCAACCGCAGGAAGTGCTACACCTGCCCCCATACCTCCTCCCTCACCCCCATCCCAGGCCCCAAGAAGACTTTCCGCATCAAGCAGATGTTCACCTGCACATCTGCCAATGTGGTATACTGCATCCGCTGTACCCGGTGTGGCTGCCTCTACATCAGGGAAACCAAGCGGAGACTCGGGGACCGCTTTGCAGAACACCTACGCTCGGTTCGCAATAAACAACTGCACCTCCCAGTCGCGAACCATTTCAACTCCCCTTCCCATTCCTCAGACAACATGTCCATCCTGGGCCTCCTGCAGTGCCACAACGATGCCACCCGAAGGTTGCAGGAACAGCAACTCCTATTCCGCTTGGGAACCCTGCAGCCCAATGGTATCAAAGTTTCAAAATCTCCCCTCCCCCTACCGCATCCCAAAACCAGTCCAGCTCGTCCCTGCCTCCCTAACCTGTCCTTCCTCCCACCTATCCCCTCCTCCCACCTCAAGCCGCACCTCCATCTCCTACTGACCAACCTCATCCCGCCCCCTTGACCTGTCTGTCCTCCCTGGACTGACCTATCCCCTTCCTAACTCCCTACCTACACTCACCTTTACTGGCCCCATCCCCGCCTCTTCGACCTGTTTGTTTCCTCTCCACCTATCCTCTCCTCTATCCATCTTCTATCCGCCTCCCACTCTCTCCCTATTTATTTCAGAACCCCCTTCCCCTCCCCCTTTTCTGATGAAGGGTCTAGGCCCGAAACGTCAGCCTCTCTGCTCCTATGATGCTGCTTGGCCTGCTGTGTTCATCCAGCCCTGCACCTTGTTGTCTCGGATTCTCCAGCATCTGCAGTTCCTACTATCTAAGACTTCAGATGTGATGTGTTCTTGTTTTTGTTTTACTAAATTGTACTATTAGACACTCATTGGGCATGTGATTTCAATATATGTTTGCACATCTATCCATTCCATTGGTTGTTTTTGTGGTGTTGGTGATTTGGTTTCCCAGAGTAATGATTCCAATGGATCTCGTGCTTGATACACCATGCTGTTTTTTAATAATTACCTAGGTCAAGAGTTCTGAACAGATGAAGTATGTAACTTTTTTTTTTCTTAAAACTTGATTGTGTTGTAAAGGTTGGAACCTGAGTGGGCTGAGGCAGCTTCTGAAGTGAAAAGTCAGACTGGTGGGAAGGTGAAATTGGCAGCAGTGGATGCCACAGCTAATCAACTACTAGCTAGCCGGTATGGGGTAAGTGGACAGAAACTCTTAGCTTTGCGGCAGATAGTATAACTTGATACAATTTTAATGTTTTGGAGCCTTTTTATAAAGCACATTGTTCTTCATCTTTGGTGTAGAGCTTTACTTTTTGTGTTTGAAGTGTTAAGAGTTGCTATCTGTAAAATTGCATATTGTAAAAACATGATTTTTTAATGGTCTTTAAAATTTGATTTTTAACATATTAAATGTTAATCTGGTAAGAATGCTCAAAGGTTCCCTTTTTTGATTGTGACCACAGATCCGTGGGTATCCAACCATTAAAGTATTCCACAAAGATGAAGATGGTCCATATGACTATGATGGTGGAAGATCAAAAAGTGATATTGTCGCTCGTGCTCTTGAATTGTTTGCTGAAAATGCACCAGCTCCAGAACTGCATGAGGTATGGAGTGGATTGGAAAGTCAAACTACTTCTTAAAAACTTTATTTCGTACCCTTCAGTTTTTTCTGTTTCAGTGATATGGTTGTAACCTCATTTGGTGCACTTGAGAGACCAGCTCTGGTGGTGATGACCCCCTCTAATCATGCTCACAATATGGAAGTGGTCCTCTGACACATTTCTGCCTCGTGTTGCTGTGCATCTAGTTTGTGTTGAACCAAAGAATTTCATGCACTTGCATGCACAATTGTACACACATGGCCTTGGCTGAGATTTCCTTGCTATTTTATGGAAGGTATAAAAGTAGGGTAGTTAATGCCAACAACTCATGCTGCAACTGTCAGAAAGAGTTTTTCTAAAAAGCCCTCTACTGGCCTGCTTCTGGCAAGCTAGTTTGTGTGTAATAAGAAACAAATTTTAGCGCGCGCTTGTACCATTTCAATAATTTTGTTGACATTTCCCCAGAGCTATAATTATGTTGCTATAAATGCTTGGCTGAGATTCAAAAGCTATAGTTATTGCAGCAGTAGGCTGAGGTTACAGTTTGACATTTAAAGAGCATATTAAAAGGCTAGCTAGCTAGCTAACTTTAATATGGAGTCTGGCTTTCTTTTCAAAAAAGAACTTAAATGTCATTTAAAGGCTTTAATGTGTTTCACAAATGATAGTTTATGCAACAATGAGAGCTATGGTAGATAAATTATTTTTGAGCTAGATGGCCTAATGAATCGGATGAAGTTGCCCGTCCCGTGATTGTTTGCACTCTGTTTCAGTGGTAAATAGAGCAAAATCATCCATTTTCCAAGGGACGTTTTACTGGGGGTTTGGTTTGGCTAATCAGGAAATTTCCTGACAAGCCGACTCAAAGGTTTTGTACTCGGTTACCATTCTCCAGTTAAGGTTACACTAACATTTTCAAATTACTGCTTGCCTTTTTTCTTAGTAAATTTGGGCAAGGATCAAAACAAGTGCTAAATAAATTCATGTCTTAGTTAATTTTCTATCTTTTTGAAAAAAAATAGATTACTGATGAAGAGATCCTAAAGAAGACATGTGATGACCATCAACTATGTATTGTTGCTGTATTGCCACATATTCTGGATACAGGTGAGCTTTAGTTCTTACTGTTACATGAAACACATGCAAACCAAGAATAGGAAAAGATTGACTAGTCAGTGAAGCCTGTCTATATTAATCTGGTGGGGTAAACGCAAGAAAAATCCTATACTCTTTCTTTATGGTTAGGTCAATCTTTTGCATTGAATGCCTGCCCACTTTTTAAATGACAGTGATCTGTGAATACGTTCTACTTGATCATGTAAGTAACTAACTAAGTTACATGTGTTTACAGGGGCTTCTGGGCGAAATGAATATTTGGCAATACTAAAGACTATGGCCAACAAGTACAAAAAGAAGTTCTGGGGGTAGGTATGCTTATTAAAATTTTCCAAATGGAAACATGCAGTCAGATGTTTAGAGTCTTAATATGCTGATTGACTGTTTAAAATAGTAAATATAAATGGCTGAACTGAAAGCATGAACCTCTTGTACTAATTATTGCTGTTTGTATTTCAATTCCTTCCAGTAATTGGTTTTTGTTTGTTTTTTCAGTTGGCTATGGACTGAGGCAGGTGCTCAGGCAGAACTTGAAGATTCTTTGGGTATTGGTGGATTTGGCTACCCAGCAATGGCTACAATTAATGCCAGGAAGATGAAATATGCTCTGCTGAAAGGCTCGTTTAGTGAACAAGGCATCAATGAATTTCTTAGGTAATTGTTTGACATTCAATCAAATGGGAAAAGTAGTTCCTATTTCTAATGTTCTTTACACAAGCATGTCATAATCTGTCAGAGGGGACAAGGAAGACTTCAGTAAGAAATTGCCAATCACTGACCAACTTTTGCGCTCTCTTTGGAGCTGTTGTAAATGGTCTAAAATAATGGCCACACTTAATAAATTTCTGATCCAAAGGATCAAACTGTAGCTCACTTATCTCAATTCATGGCCCAGGCACGTGGTATTCCTCTCATTATTAAACAATCTGGAATCTCAACATTTTTCTCCTGTGATTTTTTTCCGATGGAATAATTTTAAGTTGATTTTATTTACCCAGTTTGTAAAAGCACTGATTTCACTCTTCTAATTGAAGACTAGTTCTTGGCCTTATCTTCAGACTAGGCATTTTACAACCTTCTGGATTTTAATATTAAGCTCAGCACCTTCAGCTTGTGAATCCACTCCCATTTCTTCTAGCTTTACTGTTTGTATTCTCTGCCACCGTGTCCTCTCTTCCTGATTCCAATAGGATTATTTGTTCTTTCCTGTCTGGCTATTAGACACACCATTGTTCTCCACATTCTGATCACTTAATCTGCATTAACAATACTCTTTCTCCCCCAATTTCTCTTCTGCACACCCCCCCCACCCAATTATCACACAAATGCTGTCCCCTCCACACTTCGTCAGCTCTGAAGAGTCATCTAGGCTCAATGTTAACTTGCTCTCTCTCTCCATGAAATGCTGTCTGACCTGCTGTGATCCCCAGCATTTTTTTTTTTAGTACAGATTCTAGCATTTGTTGTAACTTGCTCCTAGTTCTTGGCAAACTTGTTGCCAGTTGAGATGTGCATAAAATGTGTTGCACTTCTGGTCCATAAATTTTAAACTCTTTCTGAAATTATACTCTTAACTTTTTAGTTGCTGCTTATACTTTTAATTTTCCAACTAAGCTGCTTATGCTTTCAATTTCCTTGCAGGGAGCTATCAGTTGGAAGAGGCTCGACATCTCCTGTGAAAGGTGCTGCATTCCCAAAAATTAATGTGGTACAACCATGGGATGGCAAGGATGGTCAGGTGAGTTTTTCTATCGAATCAACCTGTCCAGAGATGTTGTGATCCAGTTCTGGAGCAGGTGGGACTCAAACCCAGGCTTGCTAGCTCAGTACTAGGGACACTGAGCAAATTATTTTCAGGTATGTACTCATTTAAATTTTGTGTAGTCCCAGTAGTGCAGATCTACAAAGTTTAAAGTAGTAAAACCATATGGCTGTAGTGAGTGTAACAAAATGTCTCACTTCTAGCTAATCAGATTTCATTAAAAATGGAGGCTCATCAGTGCTCTCTAATGATGTGATTAAACAATAAAGTATAATGCTGACCATATGAGCTACAAATCATTTTAAAGCCAGTTTGCATACAATTGGACCTGAACTTTAATTTGTGAAAAAATGGACAAAAAGCTAGATGCAACTTTAATTGGATACAAGCATGCATTTGGCAAATTGTAACAATATGCCATCAAGGCAACTAAATATTTATTATTTGGACTCGTAAGTACTGAACAAGTCTTTTTTAATCTTCCTCAGATGCCAGCAGAGGATGACATTGATCTAAGTGATGTGGATCTTGAGGATTATGACAAAGATGAGCTGTGAGCTGATTGTCTTCCCTCTTATTGGCAGACAGTAACCGTTGGAAGTATTGAACTTGTCATCTGTCTGCTTTGAGGCCTTGTGTCATTGTTCTAGCTCACTGTATTTCTACTGTGATCTGTAAATATGTTTCACTGGGTTTTTTCTATTTAAAGAAAAAACAAATTGAACGTTGCAGTTATGTTTTAAATTTTCCACCTGTTTTAAGTAAATTGATCTAACAGACCAAACAGCCATTTGTTATACCTGTTCCACTCTTAATTATTTGAATGGATTCTTATTTCTTTTTGAGGAGATGAGGTGCAGATCTGCATAATGCATTTAGACATCTCTACTTGTATTTGAGCAATCCTTATTCCAAAGAATGTAACCTCATGGTGATTATACTACTAAATGGGATTGATCATTTGGAACTTTGGATTGTGGAAAGACTACTTTTTTTTCCCCTGAGGAACATGGATTTCATGGAATAAATTTGGAGATTCAAATAGTTGAGTCAAGATTTTCTGGAGTGGCTGGAGAGAGATTGAAGGCTTGACTACGTTGAAGCTGTACACTGGAGGCTCATCTGTACTTTTAACCACAGCACAATGACACATTGATTCCTGTGACAAACAAGCTTAATTCAGTGTCACTAAGATGAAGATAGTTGCAAATTTCAGTTTATTCTGGGTACTCTACAGAATCTACTTTGCAATATTCAGTTTTGCAATTGATGTCCAAGTATCATTACTTAATACCATGAAACATTTTCAATTCTGAAAGATTTCCTTTATATGTTAAGTTTTTGGTCTTTTCATTTTGTGAATGAAAACTTCATGATAACACTGTCTGAGCTGTGGAGTCAGTTCTTAAACATCTGAAGTGGTTTCCTTTTTTGTAATGGGCAGTATTAAAGGAGAAGGTTAATATTTGTAAATGTTTTCTACAAATTACAACTCAATAATACCTGCTGTTGCTACTGAGAACTACGCAGACCACAGTCATACTTGAAAATACCATTAGAGGTCACCATTCCATGAAAATAGATTAAGTGAAATTTGGGGGAAGTCATTTTTAGTCCCATGTTCCACTTTATTCATCAAATCAGAATTACATTTCAGTTTGTTTACTGTTGTCAGTTTTTTTACATGCTGATTTCATTCTAATTTTCAGGATAATGAGGGGAGAAGTTGGTTTTTATTTAATTTTGCACCTGCAGATTTGAGTCAACTCAGACCAAGAGTGGCCTTCCATTTTTGTACATCGATCTCTTCTTGTATATACATAAAAACACAATTCTTAACCTTAGAATTGGGGAGAAAGGGTAAATTCTGATTAAGACAAAAACTAACAATAGTAGGCCACCAGTTCAAGAATGCAGAATATAGATAGATGTGCATCATTTGAGTTGGGAGGTGGCTCTGGAAAGAAAAGCATCATAATGTTTGAATCCCATTCTCTCCACCACCACCACCAACCCCCTGCTTCGTCTGCCCCAAACTGGTGTTTGCCCGTGAAAGGGTTTAGTGTTTGCCATTCTCCCTTCCTAATATGGTTATTTTCTTGAGGTAAGACTGAAGGAAAAAAAATAAAATTACTTTTTTGTTTCCATGAAGTAACAGTCGGCCTCTCTTTCTTCTAATTATGTTTCTTGCTCCCATTGATCATAAACTTGAATGTTGATTCATCAAACATGTGGAATGCATAACAAGTTACATCTCTCGCTAGATAAAGACTTCTTGAGTATCCATAAGTCTATATACAACAGCAGAATTTACAGCTGATGTTTAACCTGGACAAAACTTAAATATTTACCTCAGATGTATACCAAATCAAGGATTCTGATAATTGTGAAGTCTTTGATTTTTTTTTTTTTTTTTTTTTTTTTCTTTCTTGACTGTTTCTATCCAGGTCTGTAGATGTTCATTGTAAGGACTGTTTGAACTTAGTTACGTAAATACTGAAAATTGGAACAGCTCCCACTTCAGATGGCTGTTGCTAGTATAAAGAACTTTCAGAACAGAATGGATCTCCCACTCTGCTCCAGCCAACTAGTTCCATCCTTACTACAGAAAATGATTCCATTCTGCTACAGGATGACATTGTCTGTCTGTTTTCTACACACGTCTTGTCTTGTACCAAAATTCGTCAATCGGTGTTGAAATTGCAAGTTGATTATTTTTCATACAAACTGGAGAATGATCGAAATGTTTGTCCTACCAGGATAAACAGATGTTGGACCCAGGATCCAGCATTATCCAATTAATGAGGCAACATTTATTGCAGGCATGAAATTATAGGTAGAAGACAAGTTAATCTTAGAAGATCTTTGGTCTCTGCAGTAAGTGCAACTATTATTTTAGTAACTGAATTATTCTATGCTACATTTAAAGGAGTGCTGTATGTTGAGGAAGAAATGCTTGCCAGAGCAAATCGACCACTTTGTTTCTCAATTAGTGGTAAAGGATCTCTTCTTTCCTTCTATTGAATGAGAATGTTGGAAGTGGCACTTCCTTGGTAAAGGAAGTGCTATTCTTGTGTTCACTAATTTTGTAGGGGTTGCAACAACTTTAAGTGAAGGGTGATCTATTTATCCAGACAATTGCAAATTCACTTTCAACAATGGCTAGGGACATTGTTAAATATGCATGTAATGTCCAAGTACTGATTTAAGTATCAACTTGGGGAATTTTATTTTGTTTGGAATAAAATGCAAAATGTTTTCTTTACCAATCCTGAGGCATACCATCTTTCAAAGAATAGGAGCATTACATGCGTTATACACACCATAATGCTCAGTGCAGCTCCTGAAGAGTATGGTATTGACACTTCTTCTCTAGCTCTTGATAAGAAATCTCCAATTTTCCTTTTCTCTTTTAAACTTTTGTTAGATTTTGAGCTGTCTGTCGTGGTTTTACCACCTTGTGCCATCTCTTGCAAAAATAAGCATTGCAAGCTGAGCGTTTTTGAATGCTATACTGGGAAATTTGATTGCTATATACCATCTTTCACTTTTTTGTTTGTATTTGTTTGTTTCTCTTTTGTCAGTTCACCTTTTTTGCATGTTTAATTTTCATCATCTTGCTTTACCTGCTGACTAATTTGTTTCTATACTTGCGTCAATCAGCTGACTAAAGTTGAAAGAAAATGTTCCTAATTTTGATATAATTGTGCTATGAAAATTTTCCAATATTGCCAGTGAAATAAAATTAAGTAGATATTTGGACTGATTTTTAAGGGCGGACTGAAAAATTGAGTCGCCCAGACTGAATGCTTGCCATCTGCCTCTGGTGAGGAGTGCAATGTATGAACTGCCTTAACGGAGAACAACTAGTTAACTGATTCATCCTTGTGCTTTGAATTTTCTTAAATCCATGAATGTCAGCCTTAAATTGCTTGGAAAATGACTATGCTTTCTGGAATAGAAGATTCCTAGGATTCCCTAAACTATATCTAATAATACAGATCCACTTTTTTAAAAAAAAAAAAAGTGGATGCTTTCAATGAAAGAATGGAGTTTATTTTGTAATTCTATAAAACTAAAAGCAAATACAAATACCACTAGAGATGCTTTACTGCTATACTGTTAGAAGCCACCAGTTCTCATGTATGCATTAGAAGAAAGTGTACAGGCATAGGCAATCCCTATGTCTGCCAACTCACTGGATGATGATGAGGTTGCATGAGTTCTGCTATAGGGAACTTTCAGAATGCTGTGGATGCATGCTCAATTTTAAGTGCATTAGTGACCAGGTAGAGATCTTCCTGTCCTGTCAAGGAACATTGGGCAGAGGGTACTGTACAGATTTTTTCCTTCTCTGCAACCTCTGACCCATTTGAACCAGAGCTGCTGCAGCCCTGAGCTTTGTACCTTTACAAGCAGTGAGAACAGATCACTAGTTGCTCTGGTGTCCCTATTAGGATGCCACAGCACACCCTATCACATTCAGTACCTCTCCACAACTTCACACTGGTGATCAATACATCATCTCAAAATATTTGATGGTATTTTAGTATTGAAGTTATTCCAAAATACCTGCTAGTCCTGTGCATTGTTTCTTATACGTTCAGCTGCAAGCAGAACATTTATTGGTGAGTGGGAGGCAAATACTGAATGAACCTGCCAAGTCCAGTTGTTTAAACAGAACATCAAATCAGCAGAACAATGTGACCATCCACTATATTAAGATTTCTACATATATTCTGATAGCCATTATATGTACAACTCAAACGTCAGCCTTCCATCCTTCCTAAGAATTGTTCTCGCCAGTCTGACGTGCTGTGATTACAGTGTGCTGTTCTTTGAATATGGGCATTGTTTCTGCTCTTTCTCCAAATAAGATTGTTGAGTTGAACATTGATTTGAATCTGACTTCTAACTGTCATAAGGAAATAGTCTGTTTTTAGTCTTCTGGATTATCATTCTTAAGGAATTTTGTGAATTCAGCATACTTCTACTGGGATTGCTATTGTTTACTCAAATTAACCACCATGTAAAGCACCAGAAATTAAGCTGGATCTTAACATCAAAAGTTTATTAATATTCTTTGGCCTTATTTTTCAATTCCTTAATGCAAGTGTGTTTTAATAACTTTTTTATTTACTGAAATATGTGCAAAACTGTAGAATCTTGAGGTAGAATTAAATCTTAATTATGCCTGAATTTAAGCATTTCTAAACTCTTTTATGTTGATGTTGTACTAATGAAATGTTGTTATATTATTGTATCTTGTCTACCTCACTTCCATCATCTCTAACTTGCCAGACTGATCAATTGTACATCCACCACTGAGTGAACGGGCACTTCTTCCAATTAACCCTTTGGCTGTGCTCTGCTCATGTCTTTAGTTCTAATTAATGTCATTTTGAGCCACTGTACCCAGCCTTTCCCTGGCAGCTGTTTGATGCTGAGACTTCTGGCAAACTTGGTGTCATATTCCAGGAGCAGCAGCCTGGAGTCTGCAATGAGTTGTCACCTTAGAGCCAGGATCAAGGATGTTGCCTTGCAGCTGCTCAGCATTCTGAAAGGAGAGGGCTAACTGTCAGAAATTGTAGTTCACGTTGGCCAACATAATTTAGGGAACCAGGTAGCAGATCTAAAAATCAGAATGTCAATGGTTGTAATCCCTAGATTAATTCTAGTGCCACATTAGTAAGTACATGAATAAGTGGATAGAACAGATGAATGTAGGGCTGTAGAATTAGAGTAGGAGGGAGGGCTTTAGATTTCTGGAAAACTGGATGGATTTTGGGGGAGGTGGGCATGTATGGATCCCAATGGGTTGCAGTAGGATACAGAGTGAAGGTACAATAGGGGAGTGATGCACAGCAAAATATGGAAGAACCAATCAATTTAGGAGGCTGTATGAATATAGTTATGATTAGGCACAAATGATTACAGCAAGGCTGGATGGCATTTTGTTTAACGTAAGGAGTCTGAGTGAGTCAGATGAGTTAGGGTATTGATTAACAAATGGGGATATGATATCATTGCATCAGGGAGACATAGTTGAAGGAGGTATGGGTCTGGCAGCTCAGTATTCTGGGGTGAGATGGTTTACTTGTGTTCTGGATGCAATTTGAGTGGCCACACTACTGGCCCTGAAGGAAAGTACCCTTTATTCTTACATCTTTAGTTAAAGACAAAAGAAAGAATTGGAACGCATTAACTCTATTGCAAAACTTAGTAATTAAGTCATCTATTAAAATGTTAAGTAACTGTTCAAATATAGTAACACCCCATAAACACAAAATTGGCAAAGGCAAATTCAGTAAAATAGATTGTCTTGCATGTAGTTCTAGCTGCAGAAATAGAACCTAAACTTTTATCTTTAACAGAGAGGAATAACAGCTTCCACATCTAGCTTCAAAACCCCAGCAACTGTTGTAGGTTAAACTAAAATCCTGGTTCTGTGGGAGCTTGACCCCAACCCTTTTATGCTGCTTCAATTGTTCCAATTTTTTAAAAAAGCTATACTGGTTGGGAATAGCCTGTTTGTCACCTCTGTCTCCACTTCTTTTCATAAAAATAAACCAGGATAAAATACACCACTTAAAGCCATAGCATTGTCATTCAAGCAAATAGTGAATGTCTGGAATTCTCTACCTTTAGAGTTGTGGAGGCCATATCACCGGAAGTATTTAAAGAGGAGGTACAGATGGTTCTGCTATAATTGTTTAGTTAACACAAATTGGTGTAACACAATTGATGAATAGTGGACGGAATACTGCTCGGATAACATGAATTTTCTACTGTACAGGCATAGCGATTTCCTTAATATGTGATTAAAGTCACACAAGAATGCAACCATCACACAATAGGAGAACTACCTGTAGTTTTCTTTAAATATCAGGGAGTTGATGGCTGTGCTGAGCTGGCACAGAGGAGTTGAGGCCTGGGGCAGATCAGCCATGATCTTGTTGAATGAATGTGAGGGCATGATGGGCTGAATAACCTACTCCTGCACTTATTTCTTATGTTATGTCTGTCTTTCTCTCCTCCCTCTTTTGGAAGGGCTTTTCTAGTTACTACAAGTTAGGCAGTTTAGGATTACTACCATATAAAGTATCATTTAAAGAAGTCTGAGTGAATTAAGGAGAGCCAGCATGAATTAT